CTCTTCGACTGTGCCTTCAGTCACCTACGCCGCCTTTCCGGCTCGGAAACACTGTCAAGCTCTCTGCGGCACTACCTGCATGAAGGGCGCTATATAAATGCAAGTTATTGTTCTGGAACACCTTGCCTAATGTGCCTTCGGTCACTTCTAAATGCTTACCCGTTCCTGCTCAGTGTGCACCTTTTATTCTCTTGGTTGTGGACTTTGAGGCTTTCTTTCATGTAAATAATAACAACAATCATCTTTGTATTTGATACAGCGCCTTATCACATCGTTGAGACGTCTCAAAGCGATTCACAGGATATATCGTGAAGTGGATTGAGTGTGGATTTTGTGGGCGAAACAGCACTATAATAAGTGGTTGTAAGTTTCAAAAAGTGTCTGTTACCACAGCAGCAGTTTTGTCTTCAAGGATCTTAACTAGTTCAGCATTCCCTGTCTTCCTGAGGGAATATTACTGAGCTGGAGGTGCTATATCAGTCTAAGGAAAGGAGCCCTTCAGTTTGCTATCTTTTAGATATCATACAGACAAAATTATATCCTGTACAGACAGATACAGAACCTTCTCTGTCAGTAAATTGTATTGTCCATCACTGTATTTTATAACTTGAATCAATACATTTGCTTTGCAAGCATCATTTTCAAGGTATTGCATTTGGAACAAAAGTGTTCTACTTTATTGTGTAGCAAACACTTTCTTGTGCATTCTTACCATTTTAATTTCAATCTAAAATTGAAGTAGAACAAATTTGAAATTTAACCAAATAAATCAAATTTAACTATTCGTTACATTTTACTGAATATTAATAATCGTTTAAAATGGATCCTGATACTTACTCTCCTCATCAAATCACAACGACACAACTGTAGGAAATTTACTGAAACTACTGAAAATCAGAAATTTTATTTTTAGTAACTCTGTTGTCATTTATTTATTTTTCCCTTCCCCCTCCCCGAGCAATCAGCCATCACGTGTAAACTCTGTACGTTTTTAATTAATGACTAATGCTAGTCTGGTGTTGAAGGTCACAGATAAGGCTGCAGTCATCAACACATTCAGACACAGAGGCTGCAATTATGAAAGGAAAAGGGAAGAACATGAAAATCTTAGGAACAAAAGTGTCAGAATTACAAGTATCTCATATCATTCTAGCATCGCTCCTTCCTTATTCTGTGTTTCAAGCAGGCAATAGGGTAATATAATGTTAAAATCTCAACTTTGTAAGCTGCAATGCTGAAGAGATGCAAAAGTTATTTATGAACATCACAAAAGTCTTGCACTTTACACGGTATTGTCCTTTTAATCAAGATTTTCCACCTGTTACTACTGCATGTGTTACCTCCAATGCTGATGTTTGACCTTTGATAACTACTGTGGGATTACTATTTCCAGAATTTCAAGTTAACTTACACATTAAACATTAAAAAAAAGAATCATTTGGAAGCAGCCCCTCAAAAAATCTTCCAAGAACACTCACATATAGTGTGCAGTGAAGTCATAGTGTTTTCAAAAATAAATAAAAAGTGTCTTTGGTTCATGGAAATGCCACATCTCGGTCACTGTTCTGTCAAGAGGACAATCATGTGGCTTTTAATCAAACCTTTTTACATCGTTATCAGAACCTGTGAAAGGATACCAGGTGCTGGCACCAGCGTTCCCAGATTTACACACAGTGGTGTCCCCATTTTCTGCTCAGTTACTGGGACAGGTAAAAGCACCTCAATTAATCATGGAAAACCAACCCTCTCTGAAGTTTCACCTTCGTCTGTCTTCCAGCCTCATGCAGAAAGTGGGTCACCAGCAACTGCGGGTCTAAGTTTGGCATCATACCCTTGAAGTGTACTGCGTTTAGGCAAAAAGAAAAATGTTCCTGCAATGCCCAGTGAAATATAGTTTTCGTCTATAATTAGAAACTCAGGTGAAAAGAGTAAAATTAGATTCCTTGAGGAAACATAAAATGCCATCTAGGATGAAAATGAGAGTCGCTGGCTTGTGTGACATTAGGGATTGAATACTATGATTGCCTGGGATGAGTGTGGGTCAAGGACAGGAAATTAGAATTTTTATTGCTCTTGGATTTACATGGTAGAAATGAATTTTGAATATTAATGATGTATAAATTAGGCAAAATATTTTCAGTCTGTTCAAGACATTTTTTAAAATTAATTACAGGATCGGTGCTACTGCAATACTGAGAGAATGACTAAATGTTTTATCGCCGTCATTTAAAAACATTTTTTGTTTTTGATCGATACAAATGGATTGTTTGTGCATTTATAAAAGCTGCTCTGTCTTGGGGAAATAAATGACTGTCTGGAAACGTAGTAGCATAGTGCTGAATTCCTCGCAAGGATAAATAATAATCCTTGCATCTGATATTGCACCTTATCATGTCTTCGAGACGTCTCAAAGCGCTTCACAGAATATACTGTAACGTGAATTGACTGTATATGTTGTGAGCATAATGCGGCAGCCAATACATTTGAAATGCACACACAATCACTTCAGTCTCGGAGTACATCATCCCATTACAAAGCGCCCAACAATATCCTATTTTTAAAAACCTTATTTTCTTCCCCCTTTTAGACACCCTCAGACCAGACCACACATAATTTTTGAGGAAGTAAGAAATGCACGAGAGCAGGCGAGCAAGTCCATGCACACGTCTAAAACTCTGCAGTAAATAGATTCATCAAAACCCCAAAGTTGAAGCACCATCCCAGCAAGCATTAAAAAAAACTCAACCACTTCACTTACAACCACTCTTGCATTATTAGAGCGTGGATGTGACTTGCTTGATAAATGTTCCTTTTTGAAACCGCGACTAAAGTTCTCTCGGACATGAACCTTTCATTTATACTGCCGTATCTTTAGCTGAGTTTATACTATAAGTTTGACAATGATTTCCCTGGAGTTTGGCAGTAACTTTCCTGCAAACAAATGCAGCCTTAGGCCGTGCTGGTCCTCACACCATCAAGAAGTTATCAGCTACACACTGACTGGCACAGTACAAAAAACATGGTGGGTGTGGTGTGTAAATCACATTGGCTTTTGCGTGCTCGAGGCCCATTTAAATCTCTTGACTGTCGCCGTACACCCTGAGAATTTTCAATGATGCATTTCTCTCATTGTTAAGAGTCACTTTGATCAGGAACGGACGTCCCAAGGTGTAGATTTGCTGAATGAATAAAACAGGAGTTACCGTCCCAGTGGAAAATGATGTTGAATGGACAATATAAACACCAGCTTCCCTCCTACCCCACGTGGCACTGACTCTGGCATGTATTCCCACAGCATTGTTAGGTTTAACTTGATTTGTACATTTGGGAATACAGGAGGCCTCGAGAGGTCTGAATGTTTGCTGTAACACCCACTGCAAAAGCAAACTTGATTTCGGGGATCCTCTGATTGTTCATTCACACCATAGCTCACATACTGTATATTGAAATCCAAATAGTGCCAACCACTCACATTGTTCATTCTCAGTCAACACACATCACAGCACGAGGGGATAATTCAAACTTAGCCCCGCATCTCATCCAAATCGCGTGTCCACGCCTCCCATCACTTCGGCTACCGTTCTAATTCTTTTTAAAAATCAAAAGTCCTGAAGCTATTCAAAAATGTTCCTACTTCCGTGCTCAGGAAGGAACGATGCAATGAATTGAACTGCCCATAAAGAGGGAAGAAAGAAATTAACAGTGACTTTTATTCAGCGCTTTGGGACGTCCTCCCGACGTGAAAGGCGCTCTATAAATGTAATTTTGTTGTTGTTGTTGTTCAATTTCTTAAAAAAAGTGCTCTGGTCTGATGGCGACAGCATCGGTGTAAGGTCTAGGAACTATCATTTTCTCATTGGCCTCAACGGAATTAGCTGTATTAAAAACTTCCAAGTTAAAACCTTTTTTTTCTGGCTCTTTCACAGCGAGCAAGCAAACAGTTTGAACGTTACATCCGGAACCACGAGCTGACTTATGGAAATTTTAAATATATACCTACGCCAAAGAAAGCCTCAAAGGCTATAAATGCTATTAAAAAGAGATTAATTACTGCATTGGACTAAACCTTTTCTCTTTTTAGGCAACACAAATAAGAATTTAAGTACTATATTCTGGTACAGAGTTGCCATCTAACGGTGAACCATGGAAATGCACCTTTCAGAAATATTTCTTCAGTGGAACAAAGACCGTCATTCTATTCTGTTGTTCACAGAAGCTGTTACATGACCCTCACATAAAACTGTTCAGATAGCTCACAATTCTTGTTGATCTCTAAGACCGCAAAATGTGAAAATTTCAGACAACAAAATTACATGTGTATACAATTCATAACTTTCAAGAAAATGCCAATATTTTTAAAGTAACATTTGCAGTATCAATAACTACCTACAAATAAAAGCTTCTTGTGAAATGCAGGAAAAAAAGAGAGGAACTGGAGCTCAATTTTATTCAGTGTGTAAGTCAGATAAGTGTGTATTTGGGTCAAAGCAAACCCCTCACTGCCCATATTCCCAATTCACAGTGGATTAGAGAGGGGATCAAATTATATGCTGCAGAAAATGTAGGGCATAAGAAGCGCAATATATCAGGCTTAAGCCATGATATAAAATTAAGTAATACAATTTGCTTATTTATCTTTGACTGATTTTTAAAAAATCATTATGCTTTGAATAAGCCATACTTTTCCTGAATTATTTTATACTGAATTAGGATTTGTGTGTCAGTTCCTCACACAGTTTGAAAATGGGGACGCAGCGACTAATTTTTCTGCCACCCTTGGAGATCTGGGTTTGATATTAAAAGCATCCTCTATTCTCTGGCGCCAAGGGTCTTATATGAGCTTGGGCTGCCTCAACCCAGTTTTGCGTGTGTTGGACAGAATGAAACTGCTGCAAGGTTTAGGATTGAATTAACCTATTCAGAGATGCACACTCATAAATGTTGAAATCTATATCAATGTTTGTTCAATGGGCATTACTTCAATCATCCCAGAGCAAAGATGCAATAATTGGTTTCTCATATTTTATACATTATCCCAAGTCATCAAACCAGCTTTTTTTAAATAAATATACATTGTACAATACCAACTGGTCTTGATCAGTTTTTTTTCCATTTGAAATTCTGAAGATAAATGAGAGCATCGCACCATCCAGTGAAAAAAAAGATTCTTTGTGAAGACATGCTAATGGAGATCGCCGCCTTGTCTTTTTAAAAATATTCATATCATATATCAAACTCTATAACAGTTATTACTCCATTGTACAACCTTGATGCAATTCCTGCAAAATACAGTTTGAAGAGATTGGGTGGTTCTGTGTTAGCTCTAAAAGCGATACAACAGAAGCCACTTACTACTTTGAACAGGTAATGAAATATTTAGTTAACATGGTCAGTTTTAGCAACATTTTCTCAGAATCTCAGTCAGCTAGGCATATACAGCCCAATTGTTTGCCATAGAGAATGTTACACTACACAAAGATGCATTTATCTATTGAGACATCCTCCCAATTATTGATTACACTCCAATGCATTGGTTTCAGCACCCCAGGTGTTGTACGTCACATAACCTTCTACTCCAGTTGCTTTGAACATTTGATAAGACATTTCAAGTAACATTAAAAGTAATTACAGTGAAATACAGAGTGAGCAGATTGCTGATCCACATCTGTTGTAATGTTGATAAAAGCTGAAATGAACCACTAGATTCAGACATTCAAAGAAACAATCATCTAGAAGATTTGAATCCTTGTCAAAATCATTTCTCAATGTGGCCTCGAAAAAGATCCCATTATTGTTTTGTAAAATAACAAACAAATAGATTTTATTTTGTTTGGTGACAAACACCTCGGGCATTGCTTTTAATGCCAGTTATCATCTAAAACACAATTCATGCAACTAAACAGTACAGAACTACTTGAATACGCTCAACGCTTAATAAGCCTTTATTCCCAAACACATATAGTGTTTTCAAAATCTGCGTTACTAAATTGCACTCTTGTTACAAACGTCTTGCCATCGTCAAGATGAACCTGATGTTGGGCATTTGCCATTAACCATCAAATAATTTCAGTGTCTTAAACTACCTGTACCATTTCGATTTACAAATGCACTCAAAGACACAAAAGTAATCTTGCTACCTTTTAACAGTTGTCCTGTTTCTTGGATTGGGTTTAAATATTCTTTTCCACTTCACAAAATATGTACAAACTATACATAAAGCAGCTATTTAAATAACCATTTATAGCAATGTATCTTTGGAATTTAGTAGCATGTGGGAACAATACAATTTTGGACTCGATTTACTTTACAATGCCATCCAACAATTGTGAGACATACTTCAACAATATACCTCATAGAGTATTTTGATATGAAAAAAATTTACACAGCAGTATCAGTGCTCAACTCTTTAGCAGCTTCATAAAATTACAATGGCACATCTTCTGTCCAGCATAAAAATTCTTCCTGGTCAACTTATTGCATTCATAAAAGTCCTGTCAGGCACATGAAAACAAGAATGTGTAGTGTCGCAAAGTACACAAAGACAAGGTATCGGGATCTGGCTCTTGAACCCATTAGCTTCGAGCAGTAGAAGCTTCGTCCACGCAGCCACCTTTTAAAAGAGAGAGCTCCTCTCTTTACCTGAGAGAGACAGAAACAATCATTTGAATATTTCACACAAAAAGTTAATTTACTTTACAATATATTCTGTGAAGGGCTTTGAGACATCTCGAAGACGTGATATCAAATGCAAGGATTATTATTACTATTATTAATGTTTAAAGATGGCAATACTTAGTTTCAGCAAAACGGAACCTCAGCTATTAGGCAATTCAGTGAATAGCTTTTACACACCTTATGGACAACAACATGCTCACTGGGGTCTATGATCAAAGCTTCACGTTCATCATCCGATTCCAGCTGAATCATGTACTCTCTGGGTGCTGCTCTGCTAGGAGCCGTATCGAGACTGGAAAAAGAACATGAAGCAAGAACAATCCACATGATTAACGTAATTCCCCTAAAACAACCAACAACAACACAGATTACATTTGTATAGCGCCTTTCACGTCGGGAGGACGTCCCATGGCGCTGCAGAACCCAAGTCAAAAAAACAGATTTCTTTTTAAAAAACACCCAAATTCAGGAATAAAACCAAGAAAATGTTTAAAAAGTAGCAAAAAAAAGGCAGGTTGACGATTCGGGTACTCATCTCCAGAATCACTGACAGTCACAATCAGGTATATGCATTATTCCTGACGATGAAATTTTATTCAACTTAAAAGTCCGCAAAAATAAAAATAAAATGCTCGAAATCTAGAAGAGAATTAGTTTAACATAAAGAATTTTCTTTTAGAAATTAACCTATTTTTCTCTTTCAAATGCTGAAAGATATGTCCTGGATTGTTTTTATTGGGAAGCCAAGACATCCAATCCTGGCTGCTAAACTAGTACTTAGCATCAGATCATTTGTGTGTGATGAGAAGGGATGTCAGCGCTGGGAGTTTTCCACATGTTTTAATGAGTGTTGGCATCTGGTATTTCCATGTCAGTCAGATGTAATCTAGGTGAAATATAGGGCAAAGCCTTATGCACAATGTCCCAGCATGTTTTGTTAACCAGAGGCTTATACGTGCACCATTTACTGCATCAATTGTGATACTTCTCCACTGCTTCCCAAACCAGTTATTCTCTGTGTCAGGCTGCTACATACCGTTTGGGTGCTGTGTTATCTGCCTATATGCACTAAGGTGATTAAGACCAAACTGAAATTATTTCACTTGGGCTTCTGAAATCGTTAAGTTTACTAAATACAGTTTCCACACTTTCCAGTAAACCCTGTGAAGTACTTTGTGACGTCCTCCCAACGTGAAAGGCACTGCACCAAAATGCAAGGATTATTTTCTGGCTGTTTTCATTAATGGACCTTTCTCACTGCTATGACTAGAAATGCATAATAAAACAAAAATAAAAACTGTAAAAACAAAAACCTTATATATGGACAGAGCAGCAATGCCTTCACACACTCACGTTTTAAGCCTTTCTTCGGTCTTTAGCAAGGCTTCCTCTGCGCCATGTCTCCTCAACCGTTCATCTGCCAGCATTTCTGATAACTGGGACATCTCTTGCTGGGCTGAATTGTTACGTTGTTCAGACGCTAAAAGCCTAAATCAGCAGCAAAAGATCCATTACTGGTGATCAATATCAACAAAAATTCTTAACCAAAGAAAACTTGATCAGTAATTTTGCTCAGTACCTGATGCATCCAGGAAATTCAAAAGGAAGCTAGTTTCTGGAATATTTTACACATATGATTGGCTCTCACAGACTTTCCTCCTACATCAATCGCTGGACCCTAATCTCAAGTCAGGTTTGTCTGGAGCCAGAATCCAGGGCAACAATGGCCTTGATCAATTTATACTATAATGTTATGCCACTACTTTCCTCTGGGTAGGAAATGGCATCTTTGCTGGAAGAAATCTGAGAAGAGAACGTTGGACTACTGATGCTGCTGCAATGAAATACCTCATTTTTAAAATTAATTTTATAAAAACAAAAACGATACTTCCGATTTCATTGAAAAAANGCAGAATTTACCACCACTTCCCTTTCATATTTCCAGGGATGTTGCCTATTTTTACGTTGACAACGTTTCTTCAAAATCTGAAACTTAAAAGGTTGCATTTGAATGAGTGAATGAATCAAGGATGGTTCAGTCTCACCTCCTCTGTAGCTCACTGAGTTCCAGATTGTCGATCTCCACGATAACACTCGCACGTTCTTGTGGAGCTCCTGGTGGCACTTCCTCACTCGCTTCGTCCTGTAGTATTATTACGAATACATCACTATATATTATTATTTAATGCTACTGTAGAAATCAGTTGGGAGCGCTGACGTTGGGCTAAACCCATTGGGATAGAAATGGAAAATAAAGCGGAAAGTGACTTGATGCAGTAACAGCAACTTCTGACCTTCTAACCCACGTACCTGTTGCTCATCTTGTAAAGAAGAACGCATCGTTTGGTACTGCCTTTCAAGTCGGTAATAACGATTCTGCAGGTCCCCATAGCGCAACTGAGTATCACGTAGTGACTGAGACACTGCTTTTAGTTGACTAGATAATACGGTCTTTTCTTCAATGAACTGCATTTCGTAAGAGAAATAATGGACAATTTTAAGATTTAAATCGACCAAACAATGGCTACAAGGCAGATTTACTGGTCTGTGCCCGATATATCAACATGGACTTCACAATGAAAAATAAAGCAGATTGTCACAAACAGCCTGCTACCTTGCCGTTCACCTGCTGAAACTGTAACTCCTTTTGGTGAAGCTCTTGTAGGTAGCCTTGGGCCTCAATCTGTAGCTGCTTCTTCTCCACGAGAAGAGACTTCACCTGTTCAGCAACATTCTCGTTGCCCACCAATGACACCGCTTCTAAACGCTACAATAAAAAGCCACAACATTTTCGTTCAAAAAGTTCAATTTCGATGTGACAGTATTGCTCCTGGATCAAGACTTCCAGGAGTTAAAGATTGCAATTGATATTTCTACTACAGCCAGTTTAACTCCTGCATAATATATCATGCTAGACACATGCAACGTTACAGGTTATTTTAACACTGGAATGGGATTTTGCTCGTCAGGAACAACAACAACAACAAGGTTCCATTTATAGAGCGCCTTTCACGTTGGGAGGACGTCCCAAGGCACTGTACAGTTGGGTCAGGACCCAAGCATTGGGTGGAAATGGTCAGGGTGAGGGGAGGGAAGGGAGGGAGCGAGGAGGGGGTAGAGAGTCAAGAGGGGAGCTGAAGGTCAAAGAGAAAGGTCTTGAGACCGGCCTTGAAGGAGGAAAGGGAGGAAGCAAGGCGAAGGCACTCGGGGCTGAGAGGCTGAAGGCCCGGCCACCAATGGTAGGGCGATTGGGGCGGGGGATGTGGAGCAGACCGGAGCCAGAGGAACGGAGGGTACGGGCAGGTAGGTAGGATAGTAGGTCAGAGAGGTAGGAGGGAGCAAGGCCGGGAATGACCTTGTAGGTGAGGATGAGGATCTTGAATTCGAAGTACAGGGTGACTACTTACAGAGACTAAAACTTCGATAGAAAAGTTTTTTTCAAGTACTTTTTTATTTTAGGAAGGATTTTAAAATGGAACACTTTCGCTGAAGTGCTTCGATAAGCATTTTCCCCAAAAATAACACAAACAGATAAATACAAGTTTCTTTGAAGCGTTTACCTGTATTGGATATGTGTTGCTCAGGGTTCTCACTGCCCCACTTCCCCGCGCTTCTTGATGCAATTGCTTCAGCTCTGCAATTTGTGCCTCTCTGTCTGCCAGCGCTATCAAATACTGCTCTTTGACAGCATTGGACTGTGTAAGCAGGAGGTTCTTCTCAGATCTAAAACGAAAAATAAGTGCTAATTTAGATATGCACATTAACGCTTGACCCTGTACTATATCAAATGCAATGATTATTATTAAACACAGGCACCGTTGCTTAGCTTGCAAATAAATCTATAGTTGGAGTATTGAAGAAGAACACGCAGCTTGTGCTTAGGTAAGAGAGTCTTCTTGATCACATACATGAATAAAAGGCAATTAAAAAATAAAATTAGTTTACATGCAATGTAATGAAGGAATATCTGCTCAGAATAGTGTTGAGTAAATATTACCATAGGGAAATATTCATCATTCCCCCAAACGGCCCAAATAAATATCCTATATGTGTATATACCACAGAGTCTCCACACACACCTATAACAATAGCAAATGTTCTCTAAAACTTCTAGAATCTTGTAAGTCAGAATGCTTCCTACTTTAGTGAAGATGCAGCATATTTTATTGCATCACAAGCACCTTATCAAACATCAAACAGTATTCCAGGATTTGACAGAATGAAATAAGACTATTCCAACATGCATAATCTTGTGCAATATTCAACCGACACCACACTTTCTCATCCTATTCGAAGTAGTCTACCAGCAAGTACTTAATACAACCCATAAATCTACCCCAGATTTATGCTGGGCTACAGACTAAGGAATATCAATTCAGATGAACGCAGTTCAACTCTAGAGCAATGCTCCATTTACTAAGTAAAATATCAGCTTATGTAAAAACGCTGTCATGGTTACACCTAGCTTGAGCAGCACTGTTCAACTCTAATGTTAAGCTGAACAATCCTACAACTCAAACCGTGACATGACTGCCAATGTATGGCAGATACTCCCGTTTTCTATAACACTAGTAAAACCCATTGGTTTATCATGTAAAAATGAATTGTGCAGAACAGAAATCTAAAAGTACCCATCAACAAGTAGATATGCAATCACGATCACACCTTTCATCTAGGATTTTATACATGCCCAGTAAGCAAAATGCCGCTGACGTGTCAAAGAGTTCCAGATAGAACATGATTTATTTGCATCAGAGCAAGCACTTTATAAAGCAATGAAACTCAATGTTTTACTGGACCAATAATGAAACGTATAAAATCATCGTTTAAAAAAAATCTACAGTATAGGGCTTTTTTTCTAAAAGAGCGGTGCGTCAAACACCAAATTCTCCTCAGCTGAAAACCGTGCCTTTACTTACAGTTATTTCTTAACATTTATAAATTTAATTGAAACAAAATTCAGGGATGCAATTAACCTTAGTTCTGCCAATTCATTCTGGTAGGAAGCAATCTCCTGCTCAGTTTGTTCTTGCGTCTTCTTAGTTAGTTGAAGTAGCTTTTCAAGTTCTTCCACCCGGTTTCTGTACCTCGATATCTCGGAATCATCACTACCAATCCACGAAGTCTGATCATTCAAACCAGTAACTCCTTTTGACTGAAAATCAAATTTTAAAACAAAAATTAACATATTTAGTGATCCCCAAACTAATATGATTATGCAAAATGCTTAAAACACTATTTCTTTGTTTCTTTCCTGTCAGTTTATTTTGTTAATTTCCTGCTCAAAGGACACAGAAATGTATTAAATGTATAGTTGTATTTTCTGCAGATTCAGAAGCCAATGATTATCCCTTGGTTAATCTTTAATTCATGGCCTTTTAAAGATTCCTTATTGAAGCTAATAGATACATCTGTTATTCTGTGCCTGCCACTAAGTTGCCCAAGAACTTCTGTTTTTATTGCTAAAAATGCTGAAAAGTCAATTTCAAAATAGTTCTATTCGATTTTAAGAATAACAGCATTTAGCTTTTCTACCTTGAGTTCATGCTTGATTTGCTGTTGCTTTAGATCGTCTATAAGTCGATCTCTCTCATTCTGCAGGGAGATTATTGCTTTCTCCAAAGACCTAATCTGAGAAGTAAGCTCTTGGTTTTGGTTCAAAACATCTAAAAGTCTTTGATCCATCTTAAAGTCTTCTGGTAATTCAGCCACCGTTACTTCAGCTGTATTAGTTTCATTTTCTGCAGTTTCAGTGGTGCGTTGAAACATTTCCATGGCTACTGTGGACTTGGCCTGAAGTTCATACAATTTCTTGCCAGCAGATTGTTCAGCGTCAATAATTTTCCTTTCCAGTTCCAGCAATTTGGTGGTTTTAACATTTAGATCCATTTGGAGCTCGTTGCACTCCAGAACTTTAGTTGCAAGTTTTTGTTCAAGTTCAAGAACTAATTGTGTCTCATTTATTTCTGATTTATCTTTCTTCATCTGCGCAAGAATAGTTCTGAGCTCTTCAACCTGTTCCACAATTTGGCCATTCTCCATTTGTAAGGCTTTTGTGTTTTCACTCTGATGCTCGAGGGATTTCTGCGCTTCTCTGCACTGCTCCTCAAAGCTGACCTTTTCACTTTCAAGCTTTTTAATTTGTTGTAGTTGTTTTTCCAACAGCTCCTTCAGTTGATTGTCCTTCAAGGATAAGACTTGGTTGAGCTCTTCCCTGTACTTAATCAGTTGTGCTTTGAGCATCGCATTTTCAGAATTAAGATCGTCCATTCGGTTGAGGAGATTTCTTAACTCTTGCTTCAATTTGCTGTTTTCAGTTACGCTTTCCTGAATGATACCGTCCTTCTGACGTTGCGTACTGAGATGGCGCTCCTCTAGCTCTCGGTAATTTGAAATTATTCGATCACGGTCATCTTGAAGGGATGTCATTGATTTTGTAAAGGCGTCCATTTTTGCAATAGCCTGGTCTTTTTCCTCTCTGGCTTTGTCAAACTGTATTTGCAACTCTTGCACTTTAGTTTCCGTTTTCCGACATTCACTGTAAGCGTTATACTTATCATCCTGAAGAATCTGCAGCTTCCTATCATAATCTTCTATTTGCTTTCTACATTGTCCTTGTATTTCTGACAAATACTCAGACATTTCACCATCTTTTGACGACACAAGTTTGGAGATCTCTGCGTCTTTATTGCTCAGCATTGACTTCAGCTGCTGTGAAATGGCACTCTGCTTCTGAAGCTCCGTGCAGAATCCTTCATTTTCATACTGAAGCTGGCGACTTTCCGACTGTTTTTCTGCCAGCTCCTTTTCTAGCGTTCGCTGTGTTATTTCCAGTTTGCTCACAGAGTCACTCGTATCAGACAGTTGAACTCTTAAATTATTATTTTCTTGCGATAGTTTGTACAAAGATTCCTCTTTTTCTTTTAGGGACTTCTGTGTGGTTTCTAGTCTTTCAGAGTGTTCACGAATAATATCATTCAAGTTAGAAATTTCTTTCTGATACTTCACCTCTGTATCATTACTACATAAATTAATTTCAGTTATAGTTTGCTCTAACTTTAAAACCCTGCGTTGGAGCTCTTGAATGTCAAAGGTTTTTAACTTAATTTCTTCGTTAAGTTTTTGTAACATTTCATCCTTTGTTTGTACCTGGTTCTCCTTACTTTGGATAGTCTCTTGGAAACGATTTTCCCACTGCTTGGTTTCTTCAATGATCCGATCCCGGTCATCCTGGAGAGAAGACATACTTTTTGCAAATGCTGCTAATTTTGCCAAGTTGTTATTTGACTCGACCTGAAGTTTTTTAATATGTAGATCGCGCCCATTCAATTCAGCTTGTAGTTCTAGGAGTTCTCCTACCACTCGGTCTTTATCTCGCTCCAGTGAATCCAGTTTCTCCTGAAAATCCATTATCTCTTTGTTATGAACAGTCTTCTGTTGATCCAGGATCATCAAAAGTTCTTTTTCTTTTTCAGTGATCTGGGCTTTAGTCTTCTCGTCTTTCTCACTGACTTCGTCCATCAGCCCTGAACACTGAGCCCGGAGACGATCGGCTTCACTTCTTGTGTCATTGAGCAGGATTTTGTAATTAATCAGTTCGTCTTTAAGACATTTAATTTCCTTATCAGATTTGGAGGCTTCGGTTGTCATCAATTCTAATTTCTTTTGCACTTCTTCACTGGAAAATTCAGACGCCTTAATTTTTCTCTCCAGGTCTAAAAGGAGTTCCTGATACCGAATGCAGTCCTTCTGAAGTTGATTTATTTCCTGTTGCTTTTCCTTGAGAAGTTCTTGCAACTCTTTGGTTGTGCTTTTAGATCGAGTGCTACCGCTTTGAGCAGACCGTAGTTTTTCCTCAAATTCTTTCACCAACTTTACTTCCTGCATTTCCTTTTCTTTGATCAAATTATGCTTAGCTTCTTTAAAAGAATCCAACTCATTTACGAGCAAATTATTTCGCAGCCTAAGTGTCTTTAGATCCTCTGTCAATGTATCAATCCGGTCAGCATTTTTAAGTAATTCTGCTTCCAAATATTCTTTTTCGTTTTTGACTTTGTCTGACATTTCTTGGACATTTTCAAGTTCTTCTTGGAGAAGAGACTTGTCATCCTCTAAAATTTTCACTTTTTCGTTTAAATTGACAGTGTCTCGCTGGTGGGATTTGAGTTCGTGTTGAATTCTTGCAATTGTGCGATTCTTTTCGTGGCCCTCCTCCTCACAACTCAACTCTAACCGTTCAAGCTTCTCGGAGAGCAAACACCTTTCTTCTTCCAAAACTCGGACTTCTTCATCCTTGGCTGCAAGTTTTGTCCACAGTGAGTCCATTTCTGAAGATAAGGACTCATTTTTTTGGAGTGTAAAGTTAATTTGGGACTGTAATTCAGACTGAAAAATATTATTCTTAGCCTGAAGGTCTTCTCGGCTAGATGTAGATAAATTAACTTCTTTCAGTAGTTGCTCTTTCTCATTCTGAGTCGTCTCTAATTGTATCTTAAGCTCCTCATAGGTTTCTTGGAGCAATTTATTTTCCTCTCGGAGTTGATTATATTGGGCAGACATCTGAAATGTTTGGCTCGGCTTTGCGGCAGAACGTGTCTGGAATTCATTAAGTCTTTCAATCTCATCCTCAAGCTCCTGAACTTTCTGCTGCTTGGATTTTGCAAACTTTCTCATCTTGTCCTTCATGTTTTCATTTTGATCGGTTGCTTCCTCGAGCTGTTTCTCAAGATCTTGCGTCTTGGCCTCAAGTTCATGCAATTTAAAAAGGACTTCTCGTTTTTCTTTCCTTGTCGCCTCCACGATCTGTCTCATCTTATCCATTTCATTTCCAATGTTTTCGTAGGCCTGCAGAAGGGACTCGTATTCTTGTTTCAATTCATCATACTTTGCTTTCCATTCTGATGTTTCTACTGCCTGAGTTTTTTTCAATAAATTCAGTTGGTGAGAAAACACCTGCTTCTCCTCAGATACAGTCTCTAGTGTGTACTTCAGACTGTCACAAGAAGCAATTAGGTTTTGATTTTCAGTGAAAACTCGATCGACTTCAGAAAGAAGCTTTTTTTTCTCTTCGTGATTTGATGAAATTTCAATTTGAACGAGCTCTTGCTCTTTCTTCATGTCAACCAAACTCTTTTCAAGAATAGAAACCTTAGACATGAAGTCTTCTTTTTCTGATGCTAAAGTGTTAATCTTATATTTCAGAGTCTGATTTTCCTTCAAGGCTTCTTTACGTGATATTAATGCTGCTTGCAATTTTCTCTGGATCAGCTCTCTGGATTTAGTTTCTGCTGGATTATCTGGTGCCCCTTGTTGTACTTCTAAGACATTTGTCTGTGTTCTTTCTTTTTCCATTTCATAAAATATTGAGTGCTTTTGTATTTGTAATTGCAGTCCTTCTATAAGCTTCTCTTTTTCAGACAATGCAAGTTCCAAAGTTGTTATGGTGCTCCCTCTTTCTTGTACAGTCTCTTGCACTTTTTCTAGTTCTGATTTTACAGTCAATATATCTTCTGCGCATATCGTGTCGTCTTGCACTTTTTCTTGGGACTGTGCAGTTTGTTCCAATGCTGCTGTGAGTGTTGCATTTTCTTTCCGAAGAGCAGTCAGTTGTGCCACAAACAGGTCTTTATCTTGGTGTAATTCTAACAGTTGTGACTCGAGACGAACTAGAGAGCAATGATGGTTCTCTTTTTCCTTCGTGGTTTGTTCCAGAGTTATTTTTAAGTTTTCGGTTTCAGTCAGGATGGACTTACAATGACTTCTTAACTGACTAATTTCAGCAGCTTGACTGTCCTTTTCCTGTTGATGCTGACATTCCAAATTGGAGAAAGATTGTTTTAGCATTTGGGCTTCTTCAGATTTATCAGCAATGATAATTTGTGCATTTTCCAGTTCTGCTTGGAGTTCGTTTATTTGCCGGTAAAATTGATCAACATCTTTCTCAAGCCTTTTCAAGTCCATGTCTTTAGTGGCCAACGTGGAAACCATGGTGGCTAGTTTATTCTCTAGGCTCTGAATGCCATCTTGCTGACCTAAGAGAGCAAGCATTTTGCTCTCCTGTACCTCAAGCTGAAGCCTAAATTGCTTCAAAGTGTTCTCTTTATCGCTAAGTGTGACTTCAACAGAACTAAGTTGGTTTTGGAGCAAACCTATTAATTCTTGATTATACTCAAACTCAGTCAGCTTGGTTTCATGCACTGACAACTGCTCTTTGACACTTTCCAGCTCTTTGGTTTGCGTGGAATACAGCTTGGAGATCTGGTTATATTCTTCCTTCTGTTGCGATAGCTGTTCTATATGGAGTTTATCCTTCTCGTGGGCCTTTTTGATGACTTCCCTTCTCGCTAAAAGAGCTGCCTGAAGTTTCTTTTGCACAAGTTCTTTTTCTTGCTTCAGCACAGTTAGCAGATCATTTTCTTCACTCTCGCCATCATTAACATCTTCAGCAGATGTTGGAGTTTCACTTTTACTGGAGCTTTCTCCACCTGAATGTTCCAGTTTTTTAGTTAATTCCATGTTGAGCTTTTCAAGATTAGAGTGGAATTGACAGCGTTCAACTTCAAACGTTTTCTCTTTTTCTTCCAATTCAGAATGATGTTTTACGATCAAGGAATCTCTTTCTTTCGCCATCTGAAGTAACTGGGCAGACAGAACTTCTTTTTCCTTTTCCCATTCATGCACACTTTGCTGCAGTTGGTCTACGAATGTTTCCTTGTCAGAAAGGCTCTCACTGAGGGCATTCAGATCACTGTCCTTCTCCATCAGTTGTTGTTTTAGTCGTTCCAGGTGCAATTCAAGTTCTTTAATCTGCTTCTGACCACTTGTCAAGTCAGAAGATAACTTGTGTACCTGATCTTCAAGTACCTTGCAGGTCTCTTGCAGTTCGGTAATTTTCCTCTCTTTCTCAGCAACACCAGTGATTTCTCGTTGCAACTCTTCCACTTTCTTCATTAAATCCCTTCTGGTAACCAGTGCAGCTTGAAACTTTTTCTTGAGAAGGTCCCTCGCCTTTGTCAGCGTTCCAATTTGTGAATGTAACTGCTCCTGTTCAGTAGTGAGTTCTAGACGCTGGGCTTCCTTTGTATGAACAAGCATTTCTTGCTGTTCCGTTTGTTTCTTAAACTCCCTCACTTCTTCAGTAAGCTTCTTTATGTTTTCATCAGAAACACGTTGCTGCATCTCAAGGGTTTGCACTTCATCAGCCAGTTGTTTTTTCTCCTCTGCTGCTTTAACCATTTCTCTTGATATGGATTTTGTAAGGTGCAGAATAGAAGCATCTTTCTCTTTTAGCTGCTGACTGAGTGAAGTCACCAAGTCTTGGTGTTGACTAATCTGTACAGTTAAAGTGTATACTGCTTGGTCTTTCTTCTGTAAGGCTTCAAGAAGTTGAGCTTCTTCTTTACTTGCACTATCTAATTGTTCTGTCTTCTTCTTTAACTCCTGCTCCAAATTATTGAATTCTTCTTGCAATGAATTGGCTTGTTGGTCATTTTCATCTAAATCACTTTGTCGTTTCAGTTTAAGTTGACATTGCTCCTCTGTCCCTCGAAGCTCAGCTATTTCTCCTTGTAAAGTTTCTAATTCTAAATGATGAATTGATTTAGTTTGCTTGAGCTCATTATGCAATGCAAACGTTTCTTCTTCGGAAATCAATAATTTTGCTGCCATATTTTCTGTCATTTCTGTTGTACCCTTTTCCCTTGCTGATGCACTATTTTGCAAATTTCCAATTTCATGTTCTTTCTCACGTAGCAGTTGCCTCAACTCACTTATTATAGATTCATTGCTCAAAACCAATTCATCCAATTTAGCTTGTTTTTCATCAACATGTTGGCTATAAGTGGATACCAATTTTTCTTGTTCTTTCAGCTGCTTTGCTCTGGTTTGCAATGATTGTTCGCTGAGCTGTTCCTGCAAAGTATCAAAAGCCTGCTGCAAAGTACCAATGTTAACATCTTTCAACTCTAATTTCTTCTCTAAATCCCCCAGTTTTTCTGTCAGTGGGCTGATTTGCTCTGCTTCTCTAGCACATTCTGCCAACTTTTGTTCTGATTTCTTCAGAATTTGCTTGACTTCCTGAATCTCTAATTTCAGTCCTGCAATTTCCTCTGACTTAAGACTGACCTGTGTCTGAAGATGCTCATTTTCTCCCTTCATGTGTTGCATAACATCAATCTGCTCCCTGGCCCGACACATATGGGTAGCAATGTTTTCTTCAAGTACCTGCAATTCCTCCAATTTCTGCTGCAACTGGCTCTGGTAGGAAGCATCCATTTCCTGCTTTTCTAGGTTTAAGCTGGTAACACATTGCTCCAGTCGTGCTTTCTCTTGAAATAGTTGATCACATTGCTGCTGAAGATTTTGAATGCTCCCAATTTTGTCTTGACTTTCTTGAGATGACTTTTCACTCAAAACCCTCAGATCCATCTCCAGCTGCTCTATGTGCTGTGCTTGACCTAGAGATTTTTCCTGCAGGGTTTGCAAGGTCAGATCCTTCTGTTGCATATTCTGATTGAGCGTCTCAAGCTGCTTTTCAACTTTCTTGTATTGCTCTTTTTGCATTTCTAGACTTGCTCTCTGGGTGTCCGTATTCTTTTCATTTGCAACAAGCATTTCATCTCTTTGCTGCAAAAGATTGACATAGTCCTTCAGTGACAAGCGACCCTTTTCCAGCTCCTGTCTTAATACCTCAACTTCACTGTTCAAGGCATTTACATTACTCTCTGTAACTTGAACAGTCTCATCCTTTTCATGAAGCTGTCTCCGAAGACCTGCTAATTCTTCTTCTTTCGAACTAAGTATTCCACCAAGTTCATTCAACTGTTCAGATTGGGTAGCGTACCGGTCTTGCAGATGGGTGAATGCAATTTCTTTCTCTTGCAGCATTTGTTCGCATTTTTTAGAGTCAAAAAGTAAATTCTGCACTTGACTCTGCAGCTGAGAGGTCAGCTCAGTGCTCTCAGTAAATTGAGATTTCAACAGATCAATTTCACCCACTTTGTCCTGCAATTTCCTCAGTGTTTTGCCCTGCTGTGAGAGTGAAGATTCCTTTCCCAAAAGAACTTCCTTCAATTGGTTGATTTCCAAATGTTGCTCCTTTGTTTGATTATTCAACCGTGAAATGGTATCTTCAAGACTAATAATCTTTCCTCTAAAGTTTTCACATTCACCCTCTTTTGTCTGCATCTTTAGAGCTAACTCTTCGTTCCACACGGTGCTACTCTCCTTGATTTGTGTGAGAGCCAACTCCTTCTCCTGAAGAATAACCTTCAGCTGATCTGCTTCAGAGCTCCCAGATGCCAACTGCAGCCTGAGATGGGAAACGGTGTCCTGCGCTTCAGAAAGCTCTGCTTTCAGTTTGACATAATCTCCCACTTTACATGCGAGCATTACATCTTTTGCCTCCATGTTCTGCTTGAACTCTTGAGAGTGAACAGTCATGTCCTGAATTTGGTTTTGAAGTTTTGAGATGGTTTCCATGTTTTCTACAAACTGTGATTTGAGTACGGTAAACTCTGCTGCAGTCTTCTGGAGATTTGAGATGTCTTTGGTTTGCTGTTGAACCAAGGTTTCCTTTTCCTGCAGGGTTAGTTTAAGTTGAGTGGCCTCAGACACCAACGCTTGAACTTGATTTTGTAACTGCGCAATTATCTGCATGTATTGTGTCAAGTGCGTTTCATCTTGTGACGTTTTAGCCTGAAACTGTTGCAGCGATAACACTTGTTGATTTAAAGTGCCTTCTTTCTCTTGGAGTTCACACGCCAGTTTCTTGGCTGTGCAATTTAAGCTACTGATTTCGTTTTTCAGTGACGCTGTCATTTCATCTTGCTGCGACAGGAGACTCTGAAGGGATACAACTTCATTGGATCTACTCTCCAACACAGAGATCGTCTCTTTCAACTCGTCTTTAAGCTTGCCATTTTCAGCGTTCAAAACTTGTAGCTGGTCCTCCAGCAGTGCAGCTGCAGTCTGCCTTTCATTTACTTTCCCCTGGAGTCGATCATATTCAACATTCCTCTTGCTCACTGAGATTTGGAATTCTTTATTTTCCCTCTGAACCTTTTCAGCCTGAATCGTCAATGTTTCCACTTGCTGCTGTAACAATGCAATGCTATCAGTTTTCTGGTCAAGCTGTTCCTGCAGACTGAGGCGCTCAGTAAACTGAACATTTGCGGCAGATTCTTTGTCAGCCAACCATTGCCTCAGTTTATTTCTTTCTTCTTCCAATGTCTGCACTTCATCCTGTAAGTTTTGGTGGCAACGTGTTGCTCACTTAGTTGGTTCTGTAAGCCATTGCATTCAGACAGCTTTTCTTTTAGAGCTGCATCCTTCTCCACAAGCCCAATATTCATCTGGTTCCCTAACTGCATCAGCGACTCTTGTCCGAGGCGAAGTTGGTTTTGGAGTGAAATGCATTCAGCGTCTTTGTTGCTCAGTGCATCCTTATTTTCAGTGATTAGATGCTGAAGTTGTTCAAGCTGCGTGGTCAGAGATGTCACCTGACCTTGCGTGTGTTCAGTAGTCTTTTGATGCTCTAAGAGCTGATTTTTCAGCACAGTACACTCATTTAATTTCCCATCCAATTGCTCTACAAGTGTCATTTCTTTCTGCTCCATTATTTTTAGGTATTCTGCCTTGGGAGTCAAGTTGTCTTTCTCTGCCTGAAGCTGGGAGATGGTCTTCATACACTGTGAAATCTCTACTTCTTTAGATTCTATTTTGTGTTCAAGTTCCTGCATGAGAACGGTTTTGTTTGAAAGTTCATCATCTTTATTACTTTGCAACTCTTTAAGAGTTTTATTTTCAATGGTGAGATCTTTCACCTGACTTTCTAAGCTGGACCGGATCTGCATCAAATTAGCAGATTTTTCATTTAACTCAGATACAAGTTTAATTTGTTCTGAAAAATCCAGGGCATTTTTGTCCAGTGTAAGTTGCAGTTGAGTATTTGTTCCATTCAGTGTTTTCACTTGGTTCTCCAAGTCTAGCACTGATCTGCTCAGCTCCCCTACCTGTGTTTTTAACTCTTTAGATTCCACTTCTCTGATTTGCACTTCTTGAGTTAGTTGACTGTTGGTTTGTTCAACAGTTTGAAGCCTTTGCTCCAAATTGGAAACCATCTCTGTTTTATTCTGCAATGTCTTTTCAGCGTATTCTTTATGTTCCGTATGTTCAGCGAGTTGTTTGGATAATTTCACGAGTTCGTCATCTTTTCCATCTGCCTGAGCGGCAATGATGTTGTACTGGTCTTTCAAGGTTTTCATTCCACTTTCAAAACTCTGCTCTTTTTCCTTGAGTAGACGGTTCAGTTCATCCTTAGCTGAGCTACTTTCACTGAGTTGAGCTTTCAGTAGGCCAATTTCTTGTTCATTCGCGACACTGGTTTCCTGAAGCTTCTGACCGGTCACTGCAATGTGATCTTTAAGTGAAGAGATCTGTGATTGACATTCGGCAAGTTGAGCAAGATAATATGTATTCTGCTTCTGTATTTCTGAACGAAGACTTTGAATTGTGTCATTATTTTCCCTAATTTGTTTCATTTGGATTTCAATCTCTTTCCCTTTCGCTTCACTTCCATCTTGAGCAGTTTTGAGCTCAGACTCGATATTAGAGAGTTGATCTACAAGAGAAGAAATCCTGATGTTGACATCCTGCTCATCTTCACCCCGTGTCTCCTTGAGTAACAGCACCTCCCGCTCAGCTTTAATTAAGCTCGCTTCCAGATCCCTAGCTTGCTGTTCCTTAGATTTAATTTGTTTTTTCAATTGCTCAATTTGTTCTGAATGATCTGCTAGGCTGCCAGAAATGATAGCCAGTTCATTCTCCTTTTCCACGATGCCTTCTTTAAGTGTATCCATCTCTCTCTCACAATTTTGCAAGTCCTCAATGAGGCGAGCTCTCTCCTCCAAGTGACTCGAGTTAAGCCGTTCTAGCTCATCATTTGTCTGCTCGAGATCCTCGCGCAGCACCTCCATTGCACATTCGTGTTTCTGGACCTGAACATTCCAAAGAAAGCGTGTATTTACTCAGCATGACTCTTAAAAGGCACAAGTATAAATTATATTTTCTCATTCAGACTTGTTGACAAAAAAAACCTTGATTCTTTGAAATTTACTTAAAGTATGCGAGATACAAATTACAAGTTGGTCATTAATTTCATAATAATGAACACGGACAGACGGCACTAGCAGCAACAAAGCCATTCCATTAAAAACCCTAATCAAAATGATTCAGAATGGCTAATAAAAACAATTTACAAATACAGAAAGGAAATTATTATCCACCAAGACTTAAACTTTAACAGGTCAGTAATACATTTAAAAAAAAATGTTTTATACCTTTTCTTTGTTTGAAGAAAGTTTCTCCGTGAGGTCAAGGACTGTCGTTTTCAGGTCAGTACATTCTACTTCAAAAACTTTACACTTTTTAGTAACTTCCACCAGCTAAGAAAAAAAAGAATAAATTCTTATGTACAATTTATCTTGCTGAAAGGCTATAATGGGCTGCAAATAAAGTCCCCTTCCCACTAATCACAAATGGCTTATAAGCAGCATGTAAAGAGAAATGCCATCCTGTGAAATGATTGTGCTGAAAACAGTTTGATATCAAGATTCTCAATTGGTTGCTTATCGGAAGTTTAGATAAATATTATGAACTAAACAAAACTGCAGCTCAAATTCACCAAGCATGCTCTTTCTTTTAAACAAACAGTAAGGTGTTAAAGTATTGTTTTTACATTTTCTTCAGTTTGTAGTAGTTTTGCACAATGATCTTTGTTGTCTAGTTCTTGCTCGTTCAGGAAATCCTTCAATTTATCAATCTCTTGTAATTTTGCTGAGGCTTCTACCAAAATCTTTTCCTTGTCCACCAGTGTAGTCTCCAGGATGTCTTTTTTGTCACGAATTCTACAGTAATTGTTAATAAAACATACACATCAGCGTTATTTATATATATCTATATATAAACACTTATCCACATTTCTTCAGAAACACGCACAATGTGTGTAAACATTTCTAATTCCAATCATCCAATCATGGTACAACATATTGCACAGACACAAGACCCTGCTTAAAAACCTAACTAAGCAGGCAATTCTGTATTCTTACTCTTTCAGCTGATCGTTCAAACTAGAAACAATTTGCTGGTGTTTCTCCGAGTCTCGTTGCTGCTGTGTGCGCAGAAGTGAGATCTGGCTCTGGAAACGATCCATTTCATTCTGTGCCAGGAAATAGAAGTGTGAACAGTCTCTCTGTTAATATTGTTCAATAATAATTATAATACTCACAAGGTAAATTACAGTTCTGCAATCTCTAACAGGAGATTTATTTCAAAATAGATTTTAAAAATCTGAACTACGCTACAAAATAGAATACCTTACCAAAATGATCTATGTAAATGTTACCTTTAATATATCTGTGAAGCAGATATCAGACATCAGTTTGTTACTATCCTGGCATTAATGCTACACATTGCAATATTTCCAGAACAATTCCAAAGATATACATATCATACAATTCACAAATACAAGAGACAATTGCAAACATGAAGACAATCTGATTATCAATGTGCTTTTTAGTTGATGTATCTGGTTTATGTATTTAAAATCACATAAGGAGTATTTAACAGTTGTATTCTTAATCTACAAATGTTCACCAATGCATGCAGTTTGTTTGGAATGGGGGGCCAGGGAGGGGAAACAGTCTTTCTCTACCTGCCTCATTATGCAGCTTCCCCTCCCATGTTTGATAATAAACACTACACACACACACACACACACACACACACAATCTCGGTCAATTCCATGTCATGACTGAAACTTCCGCTGTGTCCTTTTTATCACGTTGTAAGACGGTTTTAGTTTTAAAGTCACAAAAGTTAATGGTTAGAAAATAACAATAAAGAAATTGATTAAACAAATGCGACGCATAAAAGGTTACCCTCTAGACGGATGTGTTAGAAATCAGGAACAGTTAAATATTTTACTGAGGGCATCACAACATCTTTTCAGCAGCACAATCCACACACAACTGGTCCTTCCACGCAGCAGAATTGTTACCAAACAAGCAGGAAGAAACACAGTCAACTTTGTCACAATAGGAAATAAAAGTGATGGAAGTCTGAGCATTGGAACAACGGGACATGTTAGTCATGGAAAGTTAGTGGTTTCACACATTTTTCCTGCTTTCCTAGGATTTGCCCAACCTTCATGAAAAGAAAGGCATAATAATTATTTTATTTCTCCCTCTGTAGTCATGGCCATTCCAAGTGAAATGGAGATGGAATGCAAGATATTTATCATCTCTCTGTACAGTTCCCATCAACCAAGTTTTTCTAAAAAGGAATTCTTCCTTCCCATTGTGGTGTTTTGCCCAGTCACCCAGTGCGCTGTGAATGCTGCCTGCTTAACAGTGAAAACATGACAGTGACGTAAACCACAACGTCAATTGTGAGTTAACACATCTAAGTACATTATAAGAAGACCAACCAAACAGAAAATGACCAACTTTACATTACAACTGATAGTCAACACCTCAAAAGAGAACCATGTGTAAATATATGGGCAAACACACACCTGGGTAAGCCTCAGGAGCTGCCCCTCTTCATATACACCAAACGTCACCTGTATTAAAAGGCTTTGTTACCAGATCCTTGCAGTTAAGTCTTTCCACACTCCATAGCAAATGTTTAACATGAATCAAAATTCATTCCAAGGGATTAATCTACACTAATTACACTTGTGGCCCATTATGTCAGAATGCAAAGTTTATCGTCATCCTGTAGAATAGGATTCCATTAAATAAAAACAGCATAGAAAAAAAAATAACCGTTCTACTGGTCAAGCAAGAGATACACAGTTCAGGCTCAAAATAAATTAATCCCTTAAATGGACTTTGGTTCCAAAAAAGTTGTTCAATTCATTAAGGGGAGATAAAGTCAGCGACTTAACTGTACTGTCAACCTGACATTTTATCATCCAACTATCTCTACAAATACATAAAATGTAACCTTATATCCATGTGTGAAATACATTTCCTGAACACCTATACATTATACGGACAGAGGTACAAACTGGTACCAGTGTAATTATTGCATAAATAATGAACTATTAGGAATATTTCAAGATCAAACTTTTTCTTAAAGCAAATAAAGTTATTTTTGCACGATTCTCTACGCATCACACTAACAAAAATTACATTTGTCTACCATTAAAACTCAACGGTTCAAAATGGTTTCTCTCCCTTACCTGAAGTGTCTCAATTCTAGCACGGAGCTGCGCTTTATCTTCCAACTCCTGACAGCGTTCCTCCAGAACGAGAATTTGCTCTTGTAGGCTGTTTCGTTCCAGTTCCAATTCCTCCACAACTGTCCGCAGTCCTGTACAATTCAAAACACAACGATCATTGCCAAAACTGTTGAATTGAAAATTAACATGATTACATTAATCTCTTCTTCAACTTGAAAAATTACCTGAACTAATTTTTTTCCTTAAGCTAAACATTGAATTCCTAATACTGCACTTTTCAACATCATTTTGCTATCTTTCTCTTTATTATAATAACAGCATTTGATATAGCCTTTATCATGTCTTCAAGATAACTTGAAGTGTTTCACAGTGTATATTGTAAAGTGAATTGACTGTATATTCTTGTGAAGAATAAATATATTGTTAGAAAATTACAATATTAAACAATTATTGCTCGACAACCTTCAACTTCCACATCTCACCTGAACTTCCCCTAGAAACAATTAGGATAAACAACTTGCTCAAAAGTGCAGGAACTTTAAAAAGTAGGCAGAATAATGTTAACGTCACTTGATCATATTTTATTAAAACTATAATTAATCGGTTATAGGTTTATGCAAATGTCAATTCATTTTTATTGTTATTAGAGCTGACACTGTGATCCTTTATAACAATAAAAAGCAAGAACGTTGCAACTCACCTGCCGTATTGGTCATAACTATAGTAATCCTTTTTTTGATATAGGCCTTATGTCTTTGAGACATCTCAAAGCGCTTCACAGAATATACTGTAAAGTGAATTGACTGTATATTTTGTGGGCGAAATGTATACTGCATATTGTATGTACTTTGTTGGCGTGATTTTGAAATGCTGTCACTGTACAGCGCCTTGGGACGTCCTCCCGACGTGAAAGGCGCTATACAAATATAATCTTGTTGTTGTGATCCCTTCACTGACAAAACGCTTCTTCCAGGCACTCTAAAGTGCAATTTCCTTTGCTGCAATAGCAGTACTGGAAACAGATTCATTCTGTTTTTTTCCTGTCAATTCAGTGCCACTTTGATTTGATTCAAGTTGAATCAAAGCAACAAAAAAAACATCATAATTAGGGATTTGCACCAAACGATATCTTGGAACGAAAACTAGGCAGCTTAAGCAGCAAGCACATGCTTTGCATTAAGTAAAATAATTTTAAGAGCAGGATTTTAGAAGAGGAGGAAACGCAATAAATATTCAAACCAACACGAATGAGGTTAGAAATATGCTAATCAACAAATATGCTGATCACTGGGTTAAAGGAGGAAACGCAATAAAAATTCAAACCAACACGAATGAGGTTAGAAATATGCTAATCAACAAATATGCTAATCACTGGGTTAATTTAAACAAAGTGCAGAACAACTGAAAAGATGCCATAAGCTTTATATATCGTGCATGCTTTCAGAAACTATCTAATGGGTATCACACCTGTATGGTGGGAACTGTAATCTGGCCACAAACCTCCCATGTTCTCGCCTCCACTAATATCAGGGCTTTCCATACAGATGCTGGAGTCATCAAAGTGCCTTTTCTCATCATATTCATACTCGTCCTAAAAGGGGGAAAAATAAAGGTTTTAACCAAGTGATGTAGTCCATGAAAAGTCACTCATACTATTTTTGTGCTCCATTCCTTCATTGGCTGTTCTACAAATGACTTAGGTTTAAAATGTTTACAATTTCAATTTACTCAAATAAAGATTCTTTGGTTGTTAAAGTCACACCAATTTCAAGTTTCCCCAGATAGTTTATATTCGACCCCTAGAGTTAATAACATTGTGAAAACAGATCTTGCACAAATAATCTGCATCTCAATTAATAGCCACCACCTTTATTGCTTCTACCAGCAGTAGCACTGCATAACATTTAGTAGGGTATTTTAACAGTTCTTGGAGGAATTCATTGATCTAGAAAAATATCAATACATACAATTAAAGAGGGGTGTAAGGAGGGTAGAATTAAGGCATCGAATGTTGATTTTTTTGTTTCAGCAAATGCAGAGAGGAAAGTTTCAGCAAGGCTCATAATGTATTCACCTTCCCATAAATACAAAAAACATTTATTCAACCATTATAAAGTTGATTAGCCAAATAGGTTCCACAGAATCCCAAGACATATAGTACTGTGCTCAAATATTCACGTGTATGTGAACATTCACTCAATATTGCAGAAAAAAGGCTGTTTGAGCCTAGTCAAAGGCGCATTCTGTACCTGAAGATTAGAGTTGTCTATGCCTCTTTTCCTCTGTCCTTGCTGCTTGCCCAGTCTTCGAAGTTGCACCAGTTCCTCCTCCAACTCCTGCTGTCCTGAGACCAATGCTGGATCGGAGCAGCCAGGAAAGAACCAGTCATCCTCAATCAGTTTTGTGCCACAGGAAGGCAAGTCGTTCAGACAGATAGTGTGAGCAACACAGAGACTCATACCACACTGATCACGGCCAGTAACCATTTGGTAAACAAGCACTTTCTGACTTCCCCAAAGTATTTATTTCACTCTGAATGGTTGTAAAATTATAGTATGCGTCATCTATTCACAATTTAGATTGTGTCGAACAATGCAGCAAGTTCAGGAACAAGCAACACAAAACAATTAAGATTGTTTAATAGATTAGCAGTAGTTTTGCAGTTATTATAACTTTCACCTAACTCACTATTTGCCATAAAATAATATTTGATGTTATTTAATTATCAAAGTAATTATTATGATTATTATTATTCCCCCATTAAAAATTGCTCATATTTTGTTTAAATTGGTTTAGTTTTGATTTGCATATTATTGATCTGCATGTTCACCTACACAATACCCAGTCACTACAATTTACAGTAAATCTTGCCGATTAAGTTTTCAAGAACTGCCTCAGCGCAAAACTAAACTCCTCAAACTTTTCATTCATCAAGACTCTTGAGACAGATCTAATCAAAAAAAGTGGGCAATTTACTCCAGCTTCAGAATGTTAGTATAACAATTGAAAAGCAAATTTTAATCATTTTCAAGTCATCTCACCAGCTCTTCATTAACGTTATATTTTGACTGGGATTCAGAGTCGTTAACATAATGCCATTAGGCAGAGCTTCATTTTGCCCATAAACAGAGCTGAGCTACATGCCTTGTGATGCACTAAAGTACCGGTACCTAGAATATAACTGGAGTATTAGTCTCAACACTTTCCACAGTTTGAACAGGGAGAGACATTTTCCAGTTAAGCTGAATTTCAAATAATCAGATTGCGTCCAACATATCTGATCGGCCTTACCATTCTTTAGAAGTCAACATAAGCTTCTGTCAACCTACATGAATTCCAGTTGCCACTTTTTATTTAACCAGTGACTATACTGTCTTTTCTGTCCATAAAGTTACAAGTGAAAGCTTGGACTTACAATTATTCATTCAGAGTGGAACTGCGTTCAAACGCACATAATTTAATAAAACAATTAATTGTACTTTGAGGAAATCAGTCAAGCAACTGTCACTGTCATACAGACAAACACAAGTGTAGTTTATAAAGCTGCTCATTAATAGTCAATAATTAAGGGAGTTTAAATGCAATGAGAGATTGCTTTAAGTAAGCGTAATCAGGTGGATAACTTGGTTATTGGGGGACAAGTACTTAAAATGTGTAATAATGCATTTGCCAATACACTTATTTGTAAATTTTAATGCAAAAACTATCTTGCAAAAGTATCATTCCCATCCGTTTTGTGATTTTTAAGAATGAGCATTGCAAAGATGTTCTACACATAAAACAAACATATCTTGCAAAGCAACAAGCGAGAGATGATATTATCAGAACTTAAGACGACTTCATGCAAACTACAGCAAGCATTCATTTATTGTGCGAAGGTAAAGAAAGGGCTAACAAATGAATCGTTGCATATCACCAGCCACAGAAAATGTTCATTAGTAGTGTTTTTGAGCATTACATGCACAACTGACGACAAGATGTCCCACCATGATAGCTTCTGGAGTGCACTGCTGATGACTTCTAAGTATTAAACTGAAACCCAAAAATAACCAGCAGTACACTGCTCACTATCATGGTGGCAGAAACCTGCATGCACAAAACTGATGGGAAACTAAGCTCTTTGTGGCTGGCCAAATCGCAGTTGTAATAGGAGTGGAGGGGGAAGGGGAAGCAATCGCTGAATGCTCGTGGGGACATTGTAGAGAAAAAGAAATATCAACAGTCATGCTCAACCAAAAGGGAATGAGTAATCAGTTTTCTACTATTTAAAACACAGATGTTTCCAGATGCACATCAAATCTGAAAATGTACAGCTTTTAATTATCCCCCAATGAATATGATTATACACTTGTAATAAGTGAAAATAATGAAACAAAAGCAAGTAAAAGAACATAAGGGAAACTAAATTAAATTCCTGACAATATTTTTTTCAGTGTAGAACAATTATTACTTTTACAGTTGTAGAAAAGTAGCAAATTAACTATGAGGATTGCACATGCAATCGTTTTCAGATGTTGGAATCTTTTCAACGTGTGCATCAATATATTCCTTGCATTTTGAAATTATAATTCATACAGAACATTAGTTTCATGGAAGATTCTTCACATGTAACTTGTAGTGAAAATGGTGTCCAGGCTTTGCATGACTGTACAAACCTTATATAGTTAATTAGTGTTTAAGAAAAATCAATTAATTATCAGACCATTATCCCACTGCATGAATAATTCAAAACATTAGCAAAATGATTAACAAGGTCAAGCCTCGACAATGATATTGGAACAAATTCAAGAAACTCACCATGTCAAAATTAATATTGAGACATAAAGGCATGTAGTTGGTGTGAAAGACAGAATGCATATAAATGCCATTGTAAATATAGTTTTGTTTGTTCTTATTTATTGCAATTTCCTTCTTAAATTCAGCGTAGTGAAATCCTATTAGAGTGGAATCTTGTTAAGTACAATAAAATGTCATTAAATTATGAAATGGCTGGTTGGGCATACATGACATTTTGATGAAAGAATGAAGGCAGCAAGTTGAATAGGCACCGATGTCAATGAGAAAACCTTTTCAAATGCGAGTCAGACAGGACAAATCAAAGACTCTCCAATCCAAATAATGCATTATCTCTATCTCATTAAGTTGTCAACCTGACTCGAGACAACTGCATAACTTTCTAAAAACCCTATAGTCCCTAAAAGAAACTTGACAGGCTGCTGAACTTTAATGATGAGTTTTAAAATCATCGTCGTACAGAAGGTTCAAACAATTTATAACTGGAGGCAGCAGCACCCATTGAAGTGTTGGAAGCACCCATTGCTCCTTGAAGGCTAAATAATCCTTCCATTTTCAGTAAAATTATGTAAAGCTATTTATTGTACCACATATACAAGAACCATAACTAAACCTACATGGTAATTTCTCAGTAAAACAATGAATTGTTTGTCAAATATGTACGAATACTTCGGTTTCAATCAGAATTGGCAAAAAAAGAAACCGTAGGAAACAAATTGCTATCAAGCAATTCTTATCATTCCACATGACAATTACAAAGAGAATCCCAACATATCTCTGTATAAAACCATGTTTTATTAGGCTGGATTCCCATAAATTACCTTCTCTTTCCTCCTCAATCTGTGCCATGCGTAGTTCCATAACAGCCTTCTCTTCCTTGGCCTGACCCCGAGTTAACGTAGCTTCAGAAACCATCTCTTGCCACTCCAGCAGCCTACTCTGCAGTTCATCTGCACTGCCAGATTCACTTGCCTGCAGAAAGTCACAAAACTATTTCAGTGTCGGTTTGGCTAAGTTCTAGCGCAGAAGGATGTGGGTGCCATTCAGAAGGATGTGGGTGCCTTACATTTGGATTTGAGCTCATAGTTATCATGATAATAAAGCTACTCAAACAAAAAAAATCTGACAAATCCTATCAAACAATTTAAAACATAATTTGAAATGAAAAGTTCAGTTTGTATCCCGTTTCACCGTTATTCTCTTGCTTTTCAATTTGTTTTTAGTTTTTCATCTATTTAACCTTTCTTCCTTTTTAAAAAAAAGTGATAAATGTAGTTAGGTCAACAATCTCAAATAAACAAGAACAGATCAAAATAGAAAGGGCTGATTATACTAGTCAACTTCATCACAACCTGGATGAAGGTTAATCATTCATTTTCTAAGCGATCTAAATCAAAGGTTAAACCTTTGTGACGTAGGTATCTCTCTAACCTGAAGAAGTAATACAAAAAACACTGAAGTAAGGTGCAGTATTGTGCAACTATGCAAAAACAGATTTACAGTTCACACTGTTTCACGATTTCTTTCAGTGTATTTGGAAGCTACACATGAAAGGGTGACAGAATGAGAACCACTTGGTGCAACAGTGTTCCTGCAATTGTATGGATTTAAATTCCCAAGTGGTATACTCTTCCAATTTTATTTTGGTTTATATGGCAAAAAAATATATAGGTCTTACGTTAACACATTGACTTATAAAGATTTAGAAGTTTGAAATCAAAGGACAACAGTGATTAACCTGAACAAAATTGACTTTATAGTGAAAAACACTTTCGTAAAAAAAAAAAAATCTGCAAAGAACTGCAAATGAAGCACAGAAGAGATTATGTTTGCCAACCTGGGAAGCAGCTCTCTTCGTAACCTGTTCTAGATCTGCCTGCATGTTCTGTTGTTGTTCCTCGTACTGCTCTAACTTTGCCAGTAGTTCATCTGCAAAGAAAATGCATTGTTATTTCAGCACCCTGTATCATAACAAAATACACAGTGCAACTGAAGTAATCTGATGAATACATACAATTCTGCGATCGTAGTTCTTCAAAGGCAGTACATTTGTGCTGTAGCTCTTCCTTCTCATTCTCTAATTCGTCGATTCTTTGCTTGAAGGCCAATTGCTCATCGTATAGAGGTGCGGACTAATGGGAAAAAAAACAGGTTTAACTTAAGAGCAAATGAACTGCCAAACTGCTGCTGATTGCTACAAATTACATTAAAAAAAGTTCGAAGTTATTTTGCAGATCATTTAAGTTTTCATATTTTTCTTTCGTAGTTTTATGAATTATTTAAGTTTCAAACTGCATGCAAAACATTTCCATTCCTTACCACTACCATCAGTAGAGGCCAGACGTAACACACACACACACACCCACACACACATACCTGTGCGTGTTTCAGCTCTTCTTCAACCTGCCTGATTTTTGATTTGGACCAGGCTTTCATTTTCAGGAATTTGGCCTCCGATTTGGCAGCTTCTTCGGTTTTAAGTATCACTTGTTCTTTTAAAACAGATCAGGAGGGAATTTTAATACATTCCATTTTAATCAGTGTATGGAACCACACCTTAAAACACCCAATATTATGCACCAAATATCAATCACTCACTCCAAATTGTAGGAGCAATTATTGACGTGTATCTTGCATCATCCAGTTTTTCATATCTCAGTTATTTAATTTAAAATGTCTACATTTGCTGCAATAATAAATTACTGTATGTAATTTGAACTTCATTCAGAAAGTACATTGCATTAAGAGTTGTCTAAAGGTGGGTTTCTCAGACTAGCTATTTATGATGAATTAATCTGAGTATCATATAAACAATACAAAATTGCTGGGATATACACACAGATTTTGTTTTGAAATGCAGTATCAATGTTTTTCTCCAAAAGGGGTTTTGACACAAACATTTAATTGAAAATATATCCACAATAAACACAGCACTCAAACACTCAATAAAGGAGTACTTCAGCTGTGCCAGTTACTGTGTGTTCTTACTTGGATCTGGTTATGTTCTCAACATGGTTGGTTATTTTGTGCAAATGCAAACATTTTGAAATGTGGATCACATTGCCTGACATGTAATCTTGTAATCACAACCGTACTTTACCAGCAGAACAGGGTTTTGGTGGTAAGCTGGTGATATGCCAAGCATCATTATTTGAATTCAAATAGTAGTTACCTTGCAATTTTTCAATTTGCTCTCTGCTAGCCGCACCCACAGAAGTACTTGACACCAGCTCTGCAGAGTCGTGTCCGTGGAGACGAAAGCCTAATTGATTCTGAAGTTGCACCAGTTGTTGCTCCTTCTCAGATAGTTCTGTTTCATGTTTCTCTCTGATGTTACTCAGCTCAATGCTGTGCTTTTCTTTGACGCTCTTCAGATTTGTCTCGTGTTTCTCCATCAGATCTCTGATCTGCGCTCTCATTATATGCTTTTCAGCATCGAGTTTCGCTTCAATGTTGTCTTTTTCTAACTGAAGCAGCTTTAACCTTTCAGTTATCTCCTAGAAATCCAGAGCAGCATTACAACCACTTAAATGAAAGTTCTGAACAAGCCAGTTTCCTATTAATCAATTCCCTAATAAGTTGCTAAATATTCACCAAGAATTACTGCCCCTGTACTGAAACAATAGGCACAAATAAGCTACTCACCTTTATGTGCTGGTCTCTCCCATCAAGTTCTTTCTGCAGCACATCTACAACCTGGGTCCTTCCTAATAGTACCTCCTCCTTTTCATGCAGTTTTTGTTTGAGGGCCTTCATCAGCTAAAGAATTAAAAATATTACATTTAAGAGGAATATTCAACAGCAATGCATCTAACAATCCTGAAATTATACTAAAGCATAGAACCTAATGATAATCTCCAAACATCACCATGTTCTTCTTTTGATATGTGCTTTATATTTCTACCAGGTAATGACCATAGGAACGGATGAGATTTCCACTTTAACATGTGGTGAAGAGTGTCATCTAACTACTGCTCAAAAAGGATCTTTATCTTAGAAGCCTTAAGTTTAAAACCACAAGGAAGAATAACAATGGAAACGATAGAAACAGAAACACTGCTCTCCCAACTATTACTACTGTAAAGCCCATTACACTGCTCAGACAAAATGTAGTTTTTCTCCCACATGTACATGTTTGAGCTAAAGGAACTTATTCCCTTGTTATTCTATGTTAAGGCCAATATATAAATGCAAGCTTTTGTTGAAGTATCCATTTATCCATTAAGTAAATCGCTGTTCCTAGTAATTTCTGGCATATCTGGCAGAGTTTGCTAAGCAGAGGAATATTAACCATTCATTTTCAGAGTACTGCAATGTAGTGAAGAGATTTAACACACACACACACACACACACACAAATAAGGTATTTGAGCAAGGAGAGACAGGTGTTGAAGACTTGATTATACCAAAGCATACAGGAGGTTTTGGAGCGAGGAGAATTTCCAAGGGTTTTTTTTTGTTTATTTTTAAAAAAAGGAGCGAGCCAAGCAAAAACATTTTATCTGGACTGAGCACATTTCAGCTATCAGCAGCATACGGTAGGGTCCTGATATGGATCTTATAAAAATGAAGAAAGGAGGTGGACCTGGTAACAATGACCTTATACACTAATCTAGAATTCTGGAGCAACCTTTTCACACAAAATTAAACTTTTTACATATAAAAAGAAAAAGTAGTAAGCAGGGATATGATCCAGGAGAGTCCCAATAGGCAGAAGCGTAAAAGGGGCAATATGCTTCAATTAAGACAGCCCAAAAATTAGTCCAATATTGTGATTCAACTATTCAAAGACAGAAGCCCTGCTTGTTTATAAAAATTAGAGTATGTTGGTTTGAACTAGTTTTACACCAGTAACTAAAACTATGGGTATACTTGATATTTAAGCAGGGTTAACTCGTAAGTTAATTAAGCCGCAAGTCAATGGAAATTGCATAGCTAGTGTTAAGGAAAGAAAAGAAGATGCAACAGATAATACATATCAAAACATCTTTATTATATCAGTCCACTTAATAAATTCAGGAAAGACAAGATTATTAAGCGGTACAACACGTAAGAGAGTACTAGCGCAAGTTTTTTTCCATGAGAAAAGGTATACGTTTACAAGACTTGCCTAAAATAATTTTTCACTCTTCAAAAATTAGCCTTTGAACTGGAACCGTAGGAACTGAAGCCTAAAAACACACACACACACACCCCTTCAGTACAGGTGAGAAGCCAGTCAGCAGGGTAGGCAAAAGGCACAACAAACCACGAGAGATCATACATTGGAGGAAACAGAAAAATAAATCACGAAGAATTGAAAAGAAGGAATAAACAGATATGCTCTTCATTGGGAGCGAGTGGATTTTTTTTTTTTTTTGCCTTGTTACAATTTTTTTTATATACCTGAGAATCTGGGTGTGACACCTATTTGGCAGTGCATTCCCCTTTCCCAGTCACCTTGTGGTTGCGGATCCTGCCCTTCAGATCACTCACATTCCTGAACACACCTATATACTGTCTACTGTGGTTTGAATGCTTGTGAGAATGTAGCAGCATTTGGAGTTGGGAGAAGGTCCAGACCGTTGTACTCCTTTTACAAATTGAAACTAGCGAGAGCAGGCATACATACAGTATTTGGAAAGAACACAGCCTGCAAGCATGCACAAAGCAGTAACAAAAGGTTCATTTCACACACCAGTACATTGCAGAAACTAACATTTCCAGTACTCAATGTACATGTGAACCAACTACACCTAATGTGCAACTTACAATATTCCAACATTGTTTTTACTTAAGTCATTTCAAATTTGCCATTAGTTCATCTTTAAGCCCACAAGAATCATTTTAAGACAATTGAAGCAGCCAACTTTAGAAGGTAATGTTTTACATATGTATTTACAAGCAATAAAGGAGGCATTCAGCCAAATCTAGGAGTCAAATCCTTTTACAATAAATGTAATATATTTTCCACAAGTAATTGCAATTTATTTTAGATCCACCATCAGCCCTTTCTCACTCAAACTTTATTTATTTTAATAATTTGTACTGTAACGTCCGATTCCTTTATTTGCAAATTCAATGTAAGATTTTATAATAATAAAAATCACAAATAAATGTTAACCTGGTCAAAATCAGCACTGGCATCTGATTTTGCTGCCACGATGAACAGTTCCTGCTCATGCTTCTGTGCCTGTTCAATAAGTTTGTTTTCCTTTTCCTGAATCATTTCCTGAAACACTTGAATCTGAAACAAAAACAACAGTTTTCAACTACTAAAATATGGCAACAGCCAATGCACCATAAAGATTCATAGAAAGATGTAGATTTCAGTGACTGCAGCATGTTTCCTCTTTTTCTTTTAAGCAATAAATCAGATCAAAACCTTACAGGCCATTCTAAAATAATTAGTTTTCTACACTTACATTTATAATGTAGATATAACTGCAACAATAAAGATTCTGTAAACGCATTTACAGACAAAAAAAATCCTTGCAATTGATATAGCGCCTTATCATGTCTTTGAGACATCTCAAAGTGCTTCACAGAATATCCTGTAAAATGAATTGATCGTATATTTTACGTGTGAAAAAATACTATATTCACAATTCAAACATATGAATATAAACTGGAACATCATTCCACGATACCTATACAAAGTTTATTTTCATACATTTAAAGCAAAAAAACTGTAGTCATTGTATAGGTTACTTCGTATAGATTGATGACATCCTGATTGCAGCGCTTTTACACTCACATTTTTCATGTACATCGCTTCTTTCTCTTGATACTGGTTCTTCTCTTTGGTAAGCTGGTCCTTCAAATTTTCTGTTTCCTCCTGGAGAAAGCTGAATTTTTCCTCACTCTCCTCAACTTTCCTGGTCAGGCTGTGAACCATCGATTGTAAGTCTCGAACGGAAGCATCTTTCTCTACAAGCTGATCTTGCAATTTCTTAGATAAGAGCAAACAGCAGCTAAAAATGTTACCTGCCAATATCTAAACAACAACTCCATGCAAGAAAATATATACAGTTTTTAAGAATAAATGTGAATGGCAGAACAGTCAATATTTACACAGATCTTGATCCGTCAAAAGCACTAACTAAATTGATGCAAAAAGAAAAAAAAAGCACCATTGGAAAATGTTGCGCATCACAACTGGAATTCATATTAGGTTATTAACTGAGAAACAGGACTTACTGCAAGGAAAGATAATCAGGAAGTCTCCAAACATAATAAATCATAATAATCCTTACATTTGATATAGCACTTATCACGTATTCAAGATGTCTCAAAACACTTCACAGAATATACTGTAAAGTGAATTGACTGTGTATTTTGTGGGCGAAATGCCCTCCCTACCTTAATCTCTTCACTGGGCAGAATCATTTGTTTAGGTGCTTGGTCTGAAACAGTAGCTAACTGGAGCTCAATAATATAAGCCTCTTTTTCTGCTAGTTTCTTGTCCTTCTCAGCGAGCATCAAGTCCATCTCTGAGCCACGCTGCTGCTGGGCTTTGAGATCTGCCACCTGATAATTATATTTAAAAAAACTATAATGATTGTATTTGCACAGTTCTGATTAACGAAGTAGAGACTTTTGGAAAAAGAATATTGAGGGACAGGAAAACTAATACTTGCCTTTTTCTTTAATTCTGTGGCTTTTTGAAGAACCTGCGATTCCAGCTCTTCGACCTTTTTCCTTAACATCAAAATTTTACCTCGATTTGCAGCTGCATTTTCCTGATCTCCTTCACCTGATTGCTACATTTGAATCACAAGTAGACGCAAAGCTGTAAAATTTAGTTCAGTCCTCTCCATAACTGCTCATATTAACAGTGTTTTAACTGAATCAAAGAAAGAATTTTGCTGTCCTTTTGTTAGAAAAATGTTTCTATTCTCCTCTGATTTGTTTTGGATATTTTACACACAATATACCAGAAGCAAATATGTGATTTTGTTATTTACACACAAATCCAGATCCCAACTTACAAATATTTGCAGTGTACATTCAATAGATGCCAAATATTTCTGGCGTAAATCATATCTACCCGCACACCACTCATACAAATGCGTGGAATGTAATTTAACGAATCAGTCCGCAAAACAATACATTTTTCTGTCAGCTTTAAAGAGACCAACATTCAACAAGTTTTGTGTGCTGGCTATAAAACTCGACTTCAGTAACAATGCTTACAAATGAAGATAGTGTTTCCAGCAATGTGCAATACCTTGTGTTTCCCTGAAGACTGTTCCTTAGAACCAGATACACCAAGTTGTTTCTTTACATCCTCCAGCTGAGCATTTAATGAAGTAACTTTTGCTTTTGTCTGAAGCTTTATTTTGGAAAGCTTTGCTTCAAACGCTTCTTTGTCTTCCTACAGTGAAATAGCAAGTGTTACATTCCAATCATGTAGCCCCTTTACATTATATGGCAAGGATTCAAGATTTAAGAAAATATGCCATAATAATATTTTCTATCCAAATCGAATAAAAACAAAACTATTGTGGAAGCACATACTAAAAACTGAAAGAAATGTAGTTGTACTTTTTCAAATTTTAATAATCGATCTAAAATGTTTTCATGAAACATTTCACTAGTGAAACTAGATCGCCAAGTTCACAATACTCAAAACAAAGTGAAAAATCAAGATGAGCTTTAAAGCAACAGTGATTTTATCTGGTTCAAAAAATATATGTATTTTTCAGTTTCAATAATCACTTTTGTCCACAAGACATCTGCTGACAGTGCTGCAAAAACCAGAACATTGATGGAGCAAAATACTTAGTTCTGATAAAGTAATTATCTGTGTGGACATTAATCAGATTAACAATTGTCCATAATACACCTATCTTATCCCATCAATGTGCACAACAGTGAATAAACTTTTTTTCTTGTTTTTAAATTTAAATCTGTTTCTGCTCAAAGAAACTATAAAGGGGAAAGCTCCGTTACTTTTAGTCTCTAAAAGTGCACACATTTGTTTAAATTAAATTTGTCAGAAATATAAAAATAGAAGGGTCTGAGCACTCCCCTAAAATGAGACTGTAATAAGCAGACTTGCATTTTCTGAATTACTATACCTTAAGTTGTCGATCTTTTACGCCAAGTTGGTTGTCTTTATCTCGAATTAGCTCTTTCAGCTGTAGTACCAGTTGCTGAGTATGGGCCAACTGCTCAGCTATATCAGCCACAGACTGATGGCCAACATCGGGCAGGGAGTCCTGTGCCTGCACATTAATTTGCATAAATGGGACACAGTTAAAACCTATACAGCACACTTGCTAGGGCATTGCTCCATAGGTAATGGAGAATATAATTTTTCAATTTCAGGTTTTAAAAGAACAGAGGTCCAATTAGTTAGAAACAGGTCATCATCAATTCTGAATCCTTCAAATAATTATTGTAGGATAATTGCAAGCTCTTTCCCAAAGACTAGGTGCACCACTAAGTTATACAGAGAGGAAGGTTACAAGTTTAAATGCCTTGTGTGTGCTGAGTTACTGATCTCCCATTCCTGGCAGCTACACAGAGATTCCTGCTGCAAGGTGTATAGGTGTGGACTTCAGGTGAGATTATGATCAGACTTATTTGTCAAAACTCCAATAATAAAAAGGCAAACAATTGTATTTAGATGTATGTTAATAAATAATATTAAAGTAAAATCATTACTTTTATCTCAAAGCCAGCACCTTGGGATGTCCTCCCGACGTGAAAGGCACTAGACAAATGTAATCTTGTACTGTAATCTAAAGGATATTCATTTCAGATATAATTTTGTTTAGTAAGACATACTTACCCCTGCTTGTGCAGGGGATGGATCATCTGCAGAGTACCACTTCCACATGATTGTATATTGCTGTAGAACAATCAAAAGCAATTAAAGGTTACTTCTAATTCAGATCTTATTTGGATGTATTGCAATAACAACAACAAAACAACAAAATTACATTTGTAGAGCGCCTTTCACGTCGGGAGGATGTCCCAAAGGGCTGAACAGTCAGATGTCGGGGCCCGAGCATGGGGGAGGGGTGGTGTAGGGGTGAGGGAAGGCAGGGAGGTGGGAGGGAGACCAAAGCACGGTCGAAGAGAAGGGTCTTGAGACCGGCCTTGAAGGATGCGAGGGAGGAAGCGAGGCGAAGGGACCGTGGAATGGAGTTCCAGAGTGTGGGGGCAGAGAGGTTGAAAGCCTGTCCACCGATGGTAGGACGGGTTGGGGGGGGGGGGGGGGGGGGGGGGAGACATGGAGCAGGCCGGAGCCTGATGAACGGAGGGAGCGGGCAGGTTGGTAGGGAGTCAGCAGGTCAGAGAGGTAGGAGGGGGCAAGGCCAGTATAGGACATAGCCCTGAACAAAGCCAAAAAGCAACACACAATGTCTTACGAAAGTGTGAAAGTAATTACCAGTTTGGAAAACAGGATGGACAGGACTAGAATAGATAATGCTCGAATAAATATAGACTGCTTCCTAAAATTGTGTATGGTTTTATTGGCACAAAGCATAACCCCAAAACTGAGTCAATTACGTGGACCTCCATAAAACGTCTCATTTGTCACATGTTATAAAGCAATGAAAATATGTGTACAATAATCTGACATTATTTCCAGTATTGCAACTACACACAAGTTATAACTTGAAGAACGTCCTATCTGGAATATTTCCAAAGGTGGGGTTTCAGTGCACCAGCAATATCAACAGCACACTGCAACACAACAATTACTTCAACAAGAAAATTCACTACTTCATGCAACCAAAGTCCAATTTAAGTCGTTCTTTTCTATGAATTTTTCCGTATCTGTACCATAAACAAAGGGATCACAAAAATGTTTTTAAAAGAGTATTTCAGAGCTGGAAGAATACGATATCCCAGATATCGACATTGGAGACGGACAAAAATCTGCCAGGCTTTCTGAAACCTGATCCAGTGAATCTTGCTGAAAAATATGTGTATTTGCCGATGGGATGAAGATAGGATTATGCTTGACACAGTTAATTGTGCTGTCGCCCAAAACTCTATCTAAGCTTACATTCTATCCAAGTGCCCAAAGAATGTCCACTTGGCCTCGGTAATGGAGGGAAGCTTGTCCCTACGGAGCAATGCCTTAGCAAGCGTCAGTTCAACCTGGAAAAAAGAACCACTGCTTAGCTGTTTGGAACGCAAATGGTGTTTGTGTTCCACTGCATAAGAGGTTAATGTTCCCACCGCATCAGAGATTAATAAAAAAATTAGAGGCCCACGGTATTAAGGGGACAGTGGCAGTTTGGATTAAGAACTGGCTGAGTATCAGAAAGCAGAGGGTGGTGGTTAATGGGTGTTTCTCGAAATGGAAGGAGGTGTGCAGCGGTGTCCCCCAGGGATCGGTATTGGGACCACTGCTCTTTCTAATATATATTAATGATCTGGACTTGGGCATAGAGAGCACTATTTCCAAGTTTGCAGATGATACAAAGTTAGGTAGGGTAGTAAATAGTAAGGAGGACTGTAACCAACTGCAGGCAGACATACACAGAACGGTGGAATGGGCTGATATGTGGCAGATGGATTTCAATGTGGATAAATGTGAGGTGATACACTTAGGTAGGAAAAATGATAGAAGGCCATATAGACTTGGTAGCTCAATCTTAAGGGGAGTGAAAGTACAGAGAGATCCGGGTGTTCAAGTAAGCGAATCATTAAAGGTAGCGGGGCAAATAGATAAGGCAGTAAAAAAGGCATTTGGTGTACTGAGCTTTATTAGTAGGGGCATAGAGTATAAGAGTAGGGAGGTTATGGTTAATCTGTACAAAACACTGGTTAGGCCTCAGCTGGAGTACTGCGTCCAGTTCTGGGCACCTTACTTCAGGAAGGACATTAAGGCACTGGAAAGGGTGCAGAGGAGATTCACAAGAATGATACCAGGAATGGGGAACCTTAGCTATAAGGACAGTGGAGAAGTTAGGACTTTTCACATTAGAGCAGAAAAGGTTACGCAGGGATCTGATAGAGGTCTTCAAGATCATGAAAGGTTTCGACAGGCGAGATAGGGAAAAGCTGTTTCCGTTGTAGGTGTGTCTGTGACCCGCGGTCACAGTCTTAAGATATCTACCGAAAGAAGAGGGGAGGTTAGAAGAAATGTTTTCACTCAGCGAGTTGTTGGAATTTGGAATGATCTGCCCGAAAGGGCAGTGAAGTCCAATTCGATAACAGCTTTTAAGAGAGAACTGGACAGGTATCTGGGGAAGACGGGTTTACAGGGTTATGGGGAGAAAGCTGGTGATTGGGGTTAGTGAAAGTGACTTGCTCTGTCAAAGTGCCGCACAGACTCGATGGGCCGAATGGCCTCCTTCTGTGCCATAACATTCTATAAATCTATGAATCTATGAAACAAAATAAACCACCTCCAACTTAGAGCTGGAACTCGCCCCAGTCTAGGATTGCTGTGATATGTACAGCAAGTGCAAACATAGCTTTAGAACACACACTAACAGCTGCTATCCTTTAATTCTATAACACATTCAGCTATTTATAAATTTGCTACACTGCCATATGGATTTTAAATGCTACAGAAAATGGACCAGCCCAATGCACACTCATTCCATAACTCCATCAGTCATTTTGCAGTAGTGATTCACCAAAAGAAAATTCATTCCACTTAACAAATGAGAACAGCAGCAAAAACAACAACAAATTGCATTTATATAGCTCCTTTCATATCGGGAGGACGTCCCAAGGCGCACTTAAATATGCTCAAGTCAACGATTCCACCTAACATGGATTAAACCCGGTTTAATTTCTCAGCAGAAGACCATGCGGGGGCCAGGCTATGTCGTTGGCAAGTCTTTTCTAGGTGCACCATTTGCAAATCTCTTTCGCAGAATTCCTGAGTTTTTGGAAAGTTACAGCGCTGATCCTTTAATCCAATCAGTCCCAACTCTCTCTCTTGTCCAGTAACTGGGTCAGCTGAAGTGACAAATGCAGCGCTGAGCCTGATTCCCCTTACTGTCTGCCATGTGAACTGCTTAGGGAATGCACAACTGCTCAAATGTTTTCCCCTGCTCACAAGCAAAATGGCAACCCTGGCCAAGTACCGCAGCAGCAGCAGTATATTCCTCAAGCTTATTTTAACATTAACGCTGCGCTTTCCACCCACACCCACACTTCTCCACAGTGGGTTTCCCCCCCCCACCCCAATCCTCCCACCATCAGCATTTCAAGGCGATTCAGCAACGCATTCCAGGGCAAATGACTAAAAAAAAATCCAAGGTAAATAAAGGCATGGGGGGGGGGGTAGGGGGTAAATGATCAAAACCTCTCAAGTAAACAAGGGCATTTCAGGGGTGGGGAGGGTGGGGGGGGGGGGGGGAATGACTGAACATCTAATCACAGTGATCATGGGCATTTGATGGTAAGTGACTAAAAAAAAAACATCTTTCTTTATACAAATTTTAAAAAAACAACAAACCCTCGTCGTATCTAAAGAGATAATGGTTATTATATTTAAAGGGCAGCTCAGCCCAGATCAGCCCCCACACATACAGACTGCCCCCCCTCACCCTCCCTCCCCCCACATAGACTACCCCCACACATACAGACTGCCCCCCCTCACCCTCCCTCCCTCCCCCACATAGACTACCCCCCCACATACAGACTGCCCCCCCTCACCCTCCCTCCGCATAGACTACCCCCCCACATACAGACTGCCCCCCCTCACCCTCCCTCCGCATAGACTACCCCCCACATACAGACTGCCCCCCTCACCCCCCCCACATACAGACTGCCCCCCCTCACCCTCCCTCCCTCCCCCCGCATAGACTACCCCCCACATACAGACTGCCCCCCCACCCCCCCCACATACAGACTGCCCCCCCTCACCCTCCCTCCCTCCCCCCGCATACAGACTGCCCCCCCACCCTCCTCCCGCATAGTCTGCCTCCCCCCACTGCCCCCCCGCCCATGGCCCAGGGCCGTGTTTCGGCCGAAGGTAATGGGACATCGTCAGGTGGGGCCTGATCTCGGCTGAGGCCTCGGGACACAGAATCACCGCCCTCTCTCTCTCCCTCTCTCCTGCCCCCACAGTCAGTCAGTCATGTCACCGACCTGCCTGCGGCGGCGGCGGCGGCGGCTCCGGGTTGAGGAGGAGGAAGAAGAAGAGGGTGGGGTGGTATCACACGGCCATTGGGGTGATGGTTGGCGGTGACCCCTCGGGCAGAGGAGCCGCTGGTCACTGACTGACTGACGCTCCGATTCCCCGCCCCCACCACCACCAACCGTCACCTCTCACGTCGCCACGCACCGCGTTACGTTCGTTACGCACTACGTCACGTTACGTTACGCGCCGCGCCACGCCCACCCCGCTCTCCATCCCCACCCCCACCACCGCCCCCGCCCGCCCGCTCTCACTGCGCCTGCGCGAAGGGAGCTCGCTGGCGGCCAAGCGTCACCGGATCGGGCGGGTTGTCCGCGGGTTTGGACTACTTCACGCCCGATTGGGCGGGTTTTTGTGTGTTTTTTTGTAGGTGTGTGTGGGCGCTGTAAGCATTAGCTGGGGGTGGGTGGGGGGGGGCTGGGGGGGGGGGTTGGGTGGGGGAAAGAAGATCAAGGTCCATCTAGTTCGCTTTCCGCGGTCGCTTGACATGTCGTGCCCCCCCCCCCACCCCCAAAAAAAATACTGCGGTAATGTAGAAGGCAATTCATAGTCAAAATATAGGACTGAAGAATTATGTACCATAGGGTATGGTAGTGCAGCTGTGATATTGCAAGTGCAAATGCAGAAGAAACACATGGGGGAAAATAAAAAGAAATAAATCGGTATCCATTGTTGCTTCCCTTTAGAATTAAAGAATTAGCCTTTAATCTTGTCATTTATCCTCTACAAATGGAATCTTGTTGTTGTTGTTGTTGTTGTTTATTCTTTGGTTTTCAGCTGTCAAATCATGCGAGGGAACGGCGCTCTGTATTTTAAAACACAGCGCTCTTTCTTCTCTGTTCCAGCAGATAAGAGTAAGGAGCCATGTCCAATTGAAGCATCTTCATCACCCATCCGTCTTTCTTAGCTCCTTCCACAAACTCAGTGAGGGAGAGTTTTCCTACAAGAGTAAAAGTGGGAAACAAAACGTAGGCATTATCTTACACTCCTAGTATTTCTGAAGAAAGAATTTTTCTACATGAACATCAACTGCAACTAGGATTTATATAGCCCCCTTCACACGGAGTACTAACATCACAACAACAGGCAGACTTTTAACCCATCCTGTTACATTTAACACATGCGTGACTTTCAAATAATACGTGACTTTCAAATGATATTATGGTTTTCCGTGACCTTGCAACTTCACCAGTGAAAGGCAAAGCAAAACCAAGACAGAGCACGTAGCTCGGAACCAAAACAGCACGAGTTATAGATTTAGTATTGAAGTATTTAAAGGAGCAATGATATGAAAGCAGGGTATTTACCATCTCTATTTTCATCCACCAACTGAAAGATTCTGTCGCAGACTTCATCCACTGTCAGGAGGTCATCTTCTTTATCTCGCCTCCAGCCTTTCTTCATTCGGTAAATTGACTGAAATTAAATAAATAAATAATAAACAAACAAATAAATATATAAATAAGGAAATAAACGTTTTGGTAAAACACTCCAAATGTCAATTTTCATTACTTTATAAATGTGTGTATTTTCTCCTTGGGGGTGGGTAAGTAGGGTCTCGTTTGGAGCTGAACTGGCTCCAAGGTGACACGTTTGGGAACAGAATGTCAGAATTGAGCTAGCCCTCTGTAGCTCATCAATAACAACAACAACTTGCACTTATACCGCGCTCTCCACGCAGGGTAGCATCTCGGAGCGCTTAACAGTGGCGGAGCCTGACTCCGAGCCGGGAGTGGGAAGGTGGAGGTGACCATAAGCTCCTGTTAACTCCTGTAAGCCAAAGCCCTGACTTTGGGGTGGTACTAGCTGGACAAGCAACACGAAAGCTTGACGGATAGCGCTATCAATGGCAAGCTATGCGGTTTTAGTTGGTTAGACTCCAGCAGTTAACCCAACGCACACTCTGGGGTCCCCCCAAACCATGACTCTTGCCAACCTGCACCTAATACTTTCCGGATTTAGGTAAGCAGGATGCGTCCCTCCAGGGAGAGAGAGAGAGAGCGCATTCCATTCCAACAATCTGTCTCTGGGATTTCCATGTGTAGGTGGGATGTATGTAATTCTTACATGTTTTGTGTATGTGTCAGACACTCGGCTGAGAGATAAGAGAGATAATTCTCAATACAATCTTCAGACAATGGTAGGATACAGATATTGCAGTTTATTCCTACCTTGATTATTTCTTTCAGTTCCTTCTTATCCACGCTTCCGTTACCGTCCCGGTCATAGACTTTGAAAGACCACTTTAGTTTATGTTCAAGTTTGCCTCTCAGCACCAGATTCAAAGCCGCTACATATTCCAAAAAATCAATGGTGTTATCCTGTTATTACAAACGAGAACCCCGGTTAACATTATTGTAACGCATAATAATATTAATAATCTTTGCATTTGATATCGCGCTTTATCACGTCTTCGAGATGTCTGAAACCGCTTCACAGAATATATACATGTATAGAATATATGTCATTCCTTGAAACAAACCCATTTTACGGAATCCACATGAGCTTCACAAGTTAATGCCGCACACGTTGCCGACCATTTATTTCTACACTTACCCCGTTTTTATCAAAGACCCTGAACATGTTGTCCACGTACTCCGAAGCCTCACAATTGTCTGAGATGTTAAAGAACCGTTTGAACTCGTGTAAGAACAGAGCGCCACTGGGGCACTCGATCACAAACTTCTTGTACATTTCCTGCAGATCTGCTACGTCGATTTCCTCCATCAGGGTGCACTGGTACTGTCCCATTGCGATTGAGTTTGAATGTGTCCTTGTTGTTCCGAGTTTGAATGGCTCCGGTTTACTTCCCCCCCCCCCCACTTTTTAGTTGTGCTTTTGATCAGCATCGCAACGGGGTTCCCACTTTTATTCAGAGATTACAGGTCTGTTTATGACGCACTCTGCTCCAGGTTGCTTTTCCCGCTGATTTAAGATGACACTAACTGCACAGGGAGACCCTGCCTCAAGGGCGCTCTATAAATGCAAGTTGTTGTTGTCATTATAATCAATGGTACCTGTACTTTATAACAGAAACAGAAGTCGCTGGGAACACTCAGCAGGTCAGGCAGCATCTATTGAACATATGTCAGGCAGCCTTTAAAAGAATAATTCCTTTTAGATGCTGCCTGACCTGCATAGTGTTCCCAGCCACTTCTGTTTTTGTTTCACATTTCCAGCATCTGCAGTATTTTGTGTTTTTTTTTAGAGCTTATACTTTATGTGTGCAGGCACTTTTCAGAATGCGAGGATATTAAGAATTATTATTGATTACTTTAACCAGTAACACCCGGCGTCTTTCTCGAAATTAATCATTTTAAAATAACCCGAGGGTAACCACATTTAAGGCACGATTTAATTAATTTATTGTTGTGCCTCCCGCCACTTTATAAGCCATTGGGCTCTAGTTACTCAAAATCCCCGGTTAAGAGGATGTCTTTGTGAAAGCCTCGAAGACTATAAATACAGATGAGTCCCGTAATTAAATGAACACACGAAGAACGCTTTCAGCCAAAAGCAGCACCCATCTGCTCGTGAAAAGTGATTAGAATTTAACGTTTCATTCTATTTTGACTTGGAAATCAAGATTTGTTTGCAACAACGGGGAACTAAGCTGTTGATTTGAGCTGGGAACCCGCTCTCAGTGGCATTTCCCGGACTCGGTTTGTTTTGGGTGAAGTAAGAAGACTTTCTGGCTGGGTGGCAGTGTGGTTCAGTAGTTGTAAACAAACACCACAATGTTTTGTCAACTACTTCTGACATTCTCATCGCCCGAGTAAAATATTGATAACATTATATAAAAAAAACACTTGACAGCCCTGAAATAACTAGTGCATAACCCCAATTTTTTTTGTGTCATGTTTTTAGGGACTGACACACGCGGAAACCCATCAGCATTTTGCCCACAAAATATACAGTCAAATCAGTTTACAGTGTATTCTGTGACGCGCTTTGGGACGTCTCGAAAACGGCGCTGCATCAAATGCAAGGATTATTATTATTATTATTATTATCATCATCATTCCTAAGAGTACCCAAACCAGAACTGAGAGGTCCACGTACGTGTCGCCCTGCCCGGGGATTGAACCCGGGTCCTCTCGACAGCGAGCAACCAAGTGGTAATGGTGGGGGTGAAAAAGTAGGGGGGGGGGGGATTGCGTTAAAATTTAAATCCCATTTTGTTGCGATTGCTTTGCGCTCGCCACGCATGCGATTTTGCACGTCTCGCGGCACGACTTGTCCGACAAGTCCTCTTGGAGGAGGAGGAGGAGGAGGAGGAGATGGTGATGTGGGAGAGTCCCTGTGGCTCAGGGGTTAGAGTCCTGGCCTCGCAAGCGAGAGGACACCGGTCCGATTCCCGGTCAGGGCGAAACGCTGGGGAAGTTTCCTTACTCCACACACACACACACGGACACACGCGGACACACGGACACACGCGGACACACACACACGCGGACACACACACAGACGCACGCACACACACGCTTCTGTTTACCAGCAGTCAGTAGGAACCCGCTTGTTAGTCGATTGGCGGATGGCTTTTCCGGGGGGAATACTCCCCTCCCAAAACCCTCCCCCCCCCACCCCCCCCCGTAAAATAATAATAATAATCATTTGGTCACTTGGATCCGCGACTGTTTCGCCCCCAAAACATAAGAGAGTCACTACACTTTACACTGTTCACTGTGAAGCTCTTTGAGACGCCTCGAACAGAGACACAGCTACACAGAGATACAGAGGCACAGACACAGGGACACAGACACAGACACAGACACAGGGACACAGACACAGGGACACAGACACACAGACACACAGGGACATAGACACAGACACACAGACACAGGGACACAGACACAGGGACACAGACACAGGGACATAGACACAGACACAGACACACAGACACAGACACACAGGGACACAGACACAGGGACATAGACACAGACACAGACACAGGGACACAGGGACAGAGACACAGGGACATAGACACAGACACAGGGACATAGACACAGGGACATAGACACAGACACAGACACACAGGGACACAGACACAGGGACACAGACACAGACACACAGGGACATAGACACAGGGACATAGACACAGACACACAGACACAGACACACAGGGACACAGACACAGGGACATAGACACAGACACAGACACAGACACACAGGGACACAGACACACAGACACAGGGACATAGACACAGACACAGACACAGGGACACAGACACAGGGACATAGACACAGACACACAGTGACAGACACAGTGACACACAGTGACACACAGTGACACAGACAGACAGGACATAGACACAGACACAGACACAGTGACACACAGTGACACACAGACAGACACAGTGACACACAGTGACACAGACAGACAGACAGACAGTGACAGACACAGTGACACAGTGACAGACTGTGGGGGTGGGGGGGGTTTCCGGGTAAACACTGAGTGGCGTCAGTTCCTGTTGTGGCTCAAACCCCGAGCGGAGCCTCAGCCTCAGTGTCACTGTGTGTGTCAGTGTGTGTGTGTCAGTGTGTGTCACCCCCCCCCCCCCCCCACAGTCCCCGCTGTGGCCCCGGGGACAGGGCCCTGGACACCGCGCGGCTTCAGCCATCGTCATCACCAGCGGCAATGAAGGTGAGGGGAGAGGCCCGAGTCTGTGTGTGTGTCTGTGTGTGTGTCTGTGTCTGTGTGTGTGTCTGTGTGTGTGTGTGTGTGTGTGTGTCTGTGTCCCTGTGTGTGTCTCTGTGTGTGTGTCTGTGTCTCTGTGTGTCTGTGTCTCTCTGTGTGTGTCTGTGTCTCTCTGTGTGTGTCTGTGTGTGTGTGTCTGTCTGTGTGTGTCTGTGTGTGTCTCTGTCTCTCTGTGTGTGTCTGTGTGTGTGTCTGTGTCTGTCTCTATGTCTGTCTGTCTGTGTGTGTGTCTGTCTGTGTCCGTGTGTCTGTGTCCCTGTGTGTGTCTCTGTGTGTCTGTGTCTCTCTGTGTGTGTCTGTGTGTGTGTCTGTGTCTATGTCTGTCTGTGTGTGTGTCTGTCTGTGTCCGTGTGTCTGTGTCTGTCTCTATGTCTGTCTGTCTGTGTCTCTCTGTGTGTGTCTGTGTGTGTGTGTGTGTGACTGACTGTCTCTATCTCTGTGGTCCTTTCTTGTTCAGCTCATACACTGAATGCTGAACACCACCAACAACCCCTCTCCCTCCCTCTCTATCTCTCTCTCCTTCTCTCTCTCTCCTTCGCTCTCTCTATCTCCCTCTCCCTCCCTCCTTCTCTCTCTATCTCTCTCTCTCCTTCGCTCTCTCTATCTCTCTCTCTCCTTCTCTCTCTCTATCTCCCTCTCCCTCACTCCTTCACTCCTTCCTTTTCCTCCAACGATGCCTTTCTCCTGGAGGTCGTGTTCGCAGGCGCAGGCCTGAGAGCATTCAGTCAACCCCCAAAGAGAATCTCTCTCTCTCCCTCTCTCCCCCAGGCTGACAACCTTCCCTCCCTCCCCCCCTCCCCCCCCCCACACCACACACACACACACACAGATAAAATAATTCACTTTGTCAGGGTCGAAGAGGAAGAGACCTGTGGTCACCTCCCACCCCCCCCCCCCCACCCCCCCGGCTAGACATCGGGCTCCACCACGGCGAAGCGTTCCGATACGCCGTCAGGTGTGAAGCGAGCGATGTAAATGCAAGTTGTTGCTGCTGTCGTCGTCGTCGTTCTTGTTTGTGGGACGTTGCTGTGCACACCCTCCAAACACTCGGTCACTACACGTGACCGTAAGATCTGGCGAAGCGCTGGTATCGTGTCGATGACACGACGAGGGGCGAGACTACCAGCGGCAAAGATTATTATTACTATTATTATATCGTGCCTCCTCTTTCCTACCACAGTGTACTGACCGAAGATCACCATTAGCTCAAACCAACGAGAGAATATCTCGTACTGGAATTGCATTACCGCCCCCCCACCCCCCGCACACACACACACACGAGCGAGTGTACAGGAGGAGACAAACTTTTGAATTGATGTTTACAAAACATTCTTCTCGTGCCCAAGTTATGTGGTTGACGGGCGGAATGTGTTGCGTGCTCAGAAATGTAACCAGTGATTAGTTTGGGTTGTGCCAAGTTGTTTGTTTGGGTGTAAACCAGCGAAGGGCTACCTTTCGCTAAGAGAAAATAGGACTCCAGTCTCTCTGTGTTCCAGGTAAATTTACGAGCGGTGTAACATTGTTAACAGCTGCCACGTTTTACTTCATCGCATAACATACTCCCAATTCAAAAGAGGATGTTTCAAATTGTCCCGAATGGTCCGCCCAATTTAGAGGCAATCATCACCAAAGATCGGACGTGCACATAGCAAACATGAAAATATTGTAAAGTGCAGTGAATTTGCTAAAAACTACATTACTTTACTCCAGAGGATTTCATTTAAAACACTACATCACTCAAGGAAAGCAATTTACTGTCGCAATTGGCTGTATTATTCTAAGTGGTTGAGCGAGCAAAGCATCCTCTTTTTTTTAACCTAGCCTATTTTATAGAAACTATGCCTTTTGCGAAACACAACAGTGAAAACCTGGGTAAGTAAAACAGCAAACGACTTGCCTGAAGAGCATATGTTTAAAAGCTTGTTTTTTTTTTTCCTCTCTCCAGTTTGAAAATGCCTACATTGGTGCAATTGCCAGATCCGTGTGTGAAATAGGGATTTCCTGAAGATCCTTGTGACCAAAGTTCAACGCTAACTATGGCTTGAGTCCCAGTTGGTCCTGAACTTCATGTTTATATTTGAACACTGATGAATGGATCTGGGAGATGTCAGCCTCATTCAAGATGTGGATATAACATTCGCCCACAAAAATACACAGTCAATTCACTTTACAGTATATTCTGTGAAGCGCTTTGAGACGTCTCAAAGACACGATGAGGTGCTGAATCAAATGCCAGGATTTATTATTATTATAAGATCTTGCATTCCTTTGGTCTGCTGTTTCTTTGTTCAATCAGTCAACAGCAGCAGCAACAATCGTCACTTAATGTAGTGCTTTTCACGAAGGACTTTACCGAGACGGAGTGGGTGTCCAGCTGGGAAGGAGATTGGGAGGGTAGGATGGAGGTAGCCGAAGGTTGGGGAAGAGTTGGGATTTTGAAAGTGTGGGAGGGGGAGGAAAATGGGAATAAGGAGGAATGTCAGAGGAGAGTTTCCAAAAGTGATTTTCCAAAAGCGATCAAATAGAATTTGGGTTTCTGATGAACAAGGCTCCTTTTTGTGTGTGTGTGTGTTTGAGGGTTTCATTTTTTTGTTTCATTTGATCCTTTTGAGAGAATGTTATCGATTATTTTTCCGCTTTTATTTAAAACAGGGGCCGGACACACAAGCTGAACTAACTCAAGACATGGCGGACCTGAGTGACGTGACAGATGACACTTACGATGAAGTGCCACCTTATCTCAGAGAGGAGCCTCTGGAAGGTACTGTAACCGCCACACTGGAGAGATGCTCTCACTACATGGTTCTAACTTACAGCAGTGGACAATGCAAACTTATAATAATCCTCACTTGTTTGATAGACTCAAAAGGACTCGCTCCTGTTGCTGTGTATCGTCTCTTATCTCTGACCTGGGAACATTGTGTGCACGGGTAAAGACCGATGAGTGTAATATTTTACTGTTCTAAGAATAGAGCCTTGCTGCATAAAATAGCAACCCTGCCATAATTAATGACTTAACACAGCTGTGGGCCGGGAGGTTTTGGAGATCACCTCTGTCATGAGTTGAAAGATTATAGCTTTAATTTGTACTCAATCAATGACCCGAACATTTTCTTGTCGGCTCCACATTTTTATTTTAATATTTGCTATTCTGGCTATTATTACCAAGTCTTAAAATCTGAAGCTCAAATTTTTTTTAATTAGCTTGTGTGATTTCTACAGCAGTAAGTCATAGCAGTCATCAGTACTTACTTGTGTTGCATTTATGCTGCATAATTTGTTGGTGATTTTCCACAGAAGTTGCAGCCAACATGGGCTGATGTAATGCCAGTTGGAAATGCTGAATAACTGCTGGTGCAATGGAACAATACCTTGGTATTAATCATTGCCTTTACCTGAGAAAGCAAGACACTGAAAGGGTTTTGCAAAGATGTCGTAGATGAGCCTGCAATATCTCCCTAATAACGACGGCAGGTGTTAGCTTCGGGATAACTGATGTTTCTAAGTGATTACGATTTTCCAAAAGCTTTGAAATGTTACCATAAGGTTTTAAGAATTTGTTTTAATTCTCGCTGGTGTGTGCTTTCGAAATCCATGGCCAATGATGCAATTACCTGCGAGATCTCCGGTTGTGTCTTGAATAAATACTTTGTCTTCCCTTCTGAAGTCACGACGTTGGTTCAATAAGACCGGTGTTATGTGAAGATCAAGATGAAGAAAAGAGCATCCCACAGCAGTGTGGTTTGACGACAAGCAGTCTATTTACAGTCTTTCACCTAGGCACTAAAACACAACGCAACAACGTTTCCCCCCCACCCAAAATTATCAGATTTATTTTTCTCTCCTCTCATTTGGATGTTCAGTCAACGCGATGCAGTTTTTCATTTGTTAACGGGTGTATTTTCTGCCTATACCGAGATTGAAGGGGAAATGGTAACGTTTCATGACTTAAAATTGCTGGAAAACGTAGTTGTTCTATCAATGCGCTTTCCCAGTCATCGGTCAAGATCAGTTACACTTTTAAATGAGCCGCTGAGGTAATTTACCATCTTGTGCTAAATCAGCCTTTGCTTCTTGAACCGTGTGTTGCCGCTGTGCGCGTCGGTATCCGTCTGGCTCGGGTGATCCGCAGTTACAGTACTAACAGCAAAGTAACAGAATGTACCGAGGGCAGGATTCCAGCTATTTCTCCCGTTTCTTATGCACACGGCTGCAAAAAGTTTATATACACGCGCACCGAGGAGCAGTTAGTTACTTGTAAGAATTTCAGCAAGCTGTAGTTGTGCAACTCTGCCTTAAATCGCTTGTAACTAGACCTCTGCTATATGTTATAAGAATCCCTCTCTTACTTAAATTGTTTATTGATGTTTTTTTTTTGCATCTTCACAAGGCGGCAACCGAAACGTTTTTGCACATCACCTTAAGTGAAACTGGTTTTAAACCCCGTTCTGTTCTAGAAACTCCGCATACTTCTGCTGTTCAAAACCCGGCACTGCAGAGGGCACTGTATTGCCACCAAAGACATTGGTAGATACTCCGTCTGAGTAGATTTACAGTGTAGCTTTTCAGAGAATCCAGAGTCTAGTGATGATTGACTGGTTGGAGATTCCTGCCATAGGTGACAGCGGTTGTTGTTGGTTCGTTGATGATGCAGCTGTCAGTCAATCCAGCTTCTTTAGTCGCCTGGTGTTGAGCGTTGAGGTAAGGCTTGTACCAATTTCTCCTCCAACCTTCAGCACCCCCCGCCCTCCCCCAGTCATCAAATGCTTCTGCCACCTACGTCAAGAACGACCGAAGATGGATTTAAAAGTTGAAACTGAATTCAACAGTTTGATAAATCCTACATGCTCTGAAATGCTACATTGATAGAGTAAATCTAAACCCAGGTGTACGTTTAGTCCCAGCGTTGTGTTATAGAGTGTACCTGTCGTTGAGAAGCAGCATCTACTAGAGTAGAAACAGGACTCGGTCGTTCAAAGAAATTTCACGTGGCTTTAATTTACTATTTCAATTTTGAATTGATCTCAGTGTGGATGTACACAACGGTCACTTTCTTGTTTCACAGCTAGCTGGGTGGTGTGAGAATTGCAAATTAGCTCAAGGCTTTGAAAATCGTAGGAACAATGTAGGTTAGTATGTTCTATGTATAGATATCAGCGTTACCTGTGAGTAGCTGGTGGGATCATAATGTGAACACTTTGAGCAATTGAAAAGGACATTAACACAGTGGAAGGAGGAATCAGAACCAAATGACCATTGCTGTGTTGGGAAGTGGGTCTCAAAATTACAAGAGGCTTTCAGAACTGAGTTTTTCTTTTGGTGAAATGAAGATTGAGGGTGGGGGGTGGGAAGTGGAAAAGACAAAATTAAATCAGCCATACATTTTACCAGTGGCTATTTGATTTATCAGCACAGATTCAGAAGGTATGACACAACACACAAAGCAGAACAAAAACTATGGGACTTTTCAGTGATAGTTATTGCGTTAAATCAAGTTTGTTAATTCAAATACTTTGTTTGGTAAATCTGGTCTGTTTGAAACTTAGGTACACCAAATCCAGTTATGGCTTCTTTTTACCGATTTCCCTCCCCCCACCGCCCCTTTCCAAAACAGTCCAATAAAAGTATTTCAAAGCCAGTGAAATGTAATCACTGTCCACCCATTTTTTCTGCGCATGCACTCCTCTCCCCCAACCCCCTCTTTTTTTTTCCTACGAAGATCCCTAACAATTCTGCGCAGCGTGCCCTTTTGCGGTAAGCGTAACCTCATTCACAAATGCTAAACGCTGCTGTAGTCTTCAGACTCGGGATAAATACCAGATTGAGCAGATCTGAGTTGTAACAAGTGACAATTCAGTGGTCGTATGCAGTGAGCAATTACACAGTTTACAGTAATTAAGATGCATCTTTGAATAGACCAAACGGGAGCGAGATGTTAACGTATGTAATGCCAGTCTCTTTCGTGCAGAACCCAAGGAAGTACTATTTATGCATTGCACGGCTGTGTACACATTGCGAAGGATTTGGGCAGAGCATTCACCAGGTGGCGACAGAGACCAGAAAAAATATTTAGCATTTCCAATCTTCATGTGGTTTGGCGATTGGAAAGTCAGTACATAATAATAATAATAATCCTTGCATTTGATATAGCGCGTTTCACGTTGGATTGCGCACAGCATGTCCCAGCCCAAGGTTTCGCCCTCTGGAATGCAGGGCCCAGTTCCCAGGGCCTTAACTTTCACAAAGAAAGCATGTATAGTACATAAACTATACGTTATAACTTTTCCGAATTGTTTTCTGGTCAAATCGTTGGGGTGCAGTGGATGATGCTGAATGCGTTAGGTGGACTCTAGTAGCTGTTTTAGGAAAAAATAATGTATGTTCGTTAAACATTCAATGATTGAAATGGTTGAATGATGAGCAGCATTATCAACTGGTCTGTGCAGGAGTTTTTTTTTAGTGTGGATGCTTTTCAAATGGATGTGCTTAACTGCTCTTTATTGAGTCAGTTTGTTATTAATTGTCCTAAATATCTTGTGTATTAAAGATTACTTGAAAATACAATCATGTAAAGTTATTTGGTTCTTTAATTATAGTCACATTTTATTTCTGCTTGAAACCCTGCTGCTTTTGTGGTTGATGACGCTCTTGTGAAGCAACACCAGTAATTCAAAAATGTGCTTGTGATTTCCGAATAAATTGTTCAGTTCCTTTTAATTTGCACTACACTATCATGTGTTTTTAATTGAGCTGTGGCCAACAAACTGATGCGAAACTAGACAGTGAATATGATCCAATAGAGAAGAACATTACTGTAGACTGGTGACAGTTGTGCACTTGCTTATTAAATGGTAAACGTACTGTTATTTCATACCACTTTTATGAAGGTGAGGGATGATAAAATGTCAGAACGTCTCCAGACCTAATGTCAGTGACAGAGCCAATGGAGAGGTCAGGGATCCCTTTACCGCCCCACCAATCCTTCGAACCGTAGTTCTATCCCTGCCTCGTGTGAAAGTCGTTGCAGTACAGCTCACATATTATTGGATGATTCATGTATCTTTTATTTTTAAAATAGATGAATTTTATGATCGAAGGGACACTTGCATCCATTTGGAGACACAAAGACAAAAAAAAAAACCTGAGTGAAGGTGCTTCAAAGCTGCGTTCCTGTCCGCCCACTTTTCCTGTCTCTGATCATTCCAATCCCTTGTGCCTGATCTTGTGAGTGTTCTTTTGTGAATACTACATTCTATATTTTCTTTCGTGATTAAAATTACAAACAGAATAAATTTATTCTTTTTTTAAGGCAGGTGGGTCTGTATTACACAAGAGGAAGCTGTGTTCGACAGATGAGAATGCAGTTGTCAGAATTGTTTAAAACGCTGTAACGGGGACGCATCGAGATCAAGGGAAGTTGATACATTGATTGAGTGTTTAATAATGAAGCAAAACCTGGTTGCTCGGGAAGTGCGGAGAACTTATTTGTCTGTGAAAGTCGGTCCTCTTCAGAAATAGGGTTTGTCACAGAATGAATAGCAGCTAGGGGAATATTGCTTTGCATCCTCGTGATCATCAAATTCAATTTGGGTGAAGGCTAAGGTCCAATGTAACTTGTATGTCTGACGGGTTCGTCAGGTGTCAATATGCATGTTAAATAGTAAACACGCATGGTGAGCTGCTCTTAGATGTGTTGGGTTAGTTGGTGGCTGTCCAGATTGATACTGATTGAGGGGCACATTTATACAAGTAAATCTCCAA